TTTTGTTCGAGAGAATGTTAAAGGAAAAAACAGTGTACTTGTGTTAGAGCTTTGTTTTCATTTGTGGGAAGATTATATTTATATATGATTAAATTTCCTTAACAGGACTGCAGGTACTATAAGGTGGACTTCTAGTTGTTGTAGTAGCGGTTGTACCAGTAGAAGATGAACATGTAGGAGAATTGTCATATTCATAACTATTAGTAGTTGAAGTATAAGTAGCAGTAGTTGTGGATGTAGTAGTAGTAGAAGTAGTAGCAGAAGTAGTAGTAGTAGAAATAGTAGTATTATTAAAATTAGTAGAATTATTAGCAATGTTGTCAACAATTTCATTAGTAGGTGTTGTTGTGGTCGAGGAATTATTGGATTTATAAAATTTTTCTATTAACAAGGGACTTATTTGTATTTGTACTCTACTGGGCCTGCGTCCAGTTACCAATAGGCTGGAAAAAGAATAATACACACAAAAATAAGGGTACTCACACGTACAACCAAAGGAAAAAAGTAACAAACGTAATAAAAACAAAGAAGAAAAAGAAACCAACTGATTTTTTTTTTGTTTTGTTTTTATAAAATTTTAAAAAACTTTAACCAAAATTATCTAAGAAAAATTAAAGTAGATAAAGTAGTAAGTGTAAAAGGAGTAAAAATATAAAATAAACTGTAGTAGTAGTAGAAAAACATAAAAGTAGTGTGTTCAAGAAAGTAAGTAAGAAATAAAAATAAACTTGGTGTTGTTTTTGTGGTGTAATATAATTTGTTTAACTACTGATTTGTGTCAAAATATTTTTGTTGTTGGTAATTTTGAATTTTGCTACTTTTTTCGACTTATATAACCAAACGTTGGCATTATCTTATTTTTTCGCAGTGTTTTTTAAGGGAGAGGTATTGGTAAGTATTAACGGGCGTGTTTATTTAAGTTAGTCTTGAGTATTTTGTAAATGTTGCTAAAATTGTTGTTTTGTTAAATTTGTTTAATAAAAAATGAGAGTAATTATATGTTTTTTAAGCATTTCATGTTATTACAAATTAGCTAATTTGATGTTAGTTTTAAAGAAATCTAGCTTAACATAAAATCTCTTTGTCTAATTTATAGTCTAGTCTATAGTCTAGTCTATAGTCTAGTCTATGGCCTAGTCTATGGCCTAGTCTATGGCCTAGTCTATGGTCTAGTCTATAGTCTAGTCTATAGTCTAGTCTATAGTCTAGTCTACAGTCTAGTCTATAGTATAGTCTATAGTCTAGTCTATAGTCTAGTCTATTGTCTGCTCTATAGTCTAGTCTATAGTCTAGTCTATAGTCTAGTCTATAGTCTAGTCTATAGTCTAGTCTATAGTCTAGTCTATAGTCTAGTCTATAGCCTAGTCTATAGTCTAGTCTATAGTCTAGTCTATAGTCTAGTCTATAGTCTAGTCTATAGTCTAGTCTATAGTCTAGTCTATAGTCTAGTCTATAGTCTAGTCTATAGTCTAGTCTATAGTCTAGTCTATAGTCTAGTCTATAGTCTAGTCTATAGTCTAGTCTATAGTCTAGTCTATAGTCTAGTCTATAGTCTAGTCTATAGTCTAGTCTATAGTCTAGTCTATAGTCTAGTCTATAGTCTAGTCTATAGTCTAGTCTATAGTCTAGTCTATAGTCTAGTCTATAGTCTAGTCTATAGTCTAGTCTATAGTCTAGTCTATAGTCTAGTCTATGGCCTAGTCTATAGTCTAGTCTATAGTCTAGTCTATAGTCTAGTCTATAGTCTAGTCTATAGTCTAGTCTATAGTCTAGTCTATAGTCTAGTCTATAGTCTAGTCTATAGTCTAGTCTATAGTCTAGTCTATAGTCTAGTATAGTCTAGTCTATAGTCTAGTCTATAGTCTAGTCTATAGTCTAGTCTATAGTCTAGTCTATAGTCTAGGTCTATAGTCTAGTCTATAGTCCTAGTCTATAGTCTAGTCTATAGTCTAGTCTATAGTCTAGTCTATAGTCTAGTCTATAGTCTAGTCTATAGTCTAGTCTATAGTCTAGTCTATAGTCTAGTCTATAGTCTAGTCTATAGTCTAGTCTATAGTCTAGTCTATAGTCTAGTCTATAGTCTAGTCTATAGTCTAGTCTATAGTCTAGTCTATAGTCTAGTCTATAGTCTAGGTCTATAGTCTAGTCTATAGTCTAGTCTATAGTCTAGTCTATAGTCTAGTCTATAGTCTAGTCTATAGTCTAGTCTATAGTCTAGTCTATAGTCTAGTCTATAGTCTAGTCTATAGTCTAGTCTATAGTCTAGTCTATAGTCTAGTCTATAGTCTAGTCTATAGTCTAGTCTATAGTCTAGTCTATAGTCTAGTCTATAGTCTAGTCTATAGTCTAGTCTATAGTCTAGTCTATAGTCTAGTCTATAGTCTAGTCTATAGTCTAGTCTATAGTCTAGTCTATAGTCTAGTCTATAGTCTAGTCTATAGTCTAGTCTATAGTCTAGTCTATAGTCTAGTCTATAGTCTAGTCTATAGTCTAGTCTATAGTCTAGTCTATAGTCTAGTCTATAGTCTAGTCTATAGTCTAGTCTATAGTCTAGTCTATAGTCTAGTCTATAGTCTAGTCTATAGTCTAGTCTATAGTCTAGTCTATAGTCTAGTCTATAGTCTAGTCTATAGTCTAGTCTATAGTCTAGTCTATAGTCTAGTCTATAGTCTAGTCTATAGTCTAGTCTATAGTCTAGTCTATAGTCTAGTCTATAGTCTAGTCTATAGTCTAGTCTATAGTCTAGTCTATAGTCTAGTCTATAGTCTAGTCTATAGTCTAGTCTATAGTCTAGTCTATAGTCTAGTCTATAGTCTAGTCTATAGTCTAGTCTAGTCAGTCTAGTCTAGTCTATAGTCTAGTCTATAGTCTAGTCTATAGTCTAGTCTATAGTCTAGTCTATAGTTCTAGTCTATAGTCTAGTCTATGTCTCTAGTCTATAGTCTAGTCTATAGTCTAGTCTATAGTCTAGTCTATAGTCTAGTCTATAGTCTAGTCTATAGTCTAGTCTATAGTCTAGTCTATAGTCTAGTCTATAGTCTAGTCTATAGTCTAGTCTATAGTCTAGTCTATAGTCTAGTCTATAGTCTAGTCTATAGTCTAGGTCTATAGTCTAGTCTATAGTCTAGTCTATAGTCTAGTCTATAGTCTAGTCTATAGTCTAGTCTATAGTCTAGGTCTATAGTCTAGTCTATAGTTCTAGTCTATAGTCTAGTCTATAGTCTAGTCTATAGTCTAGTCTATAGTCTAGTCTATAGTCTAGTCTAGAGTCTAGTCTATAGTCTAGTCTATAGTCTAGTCTATAGTCTAGTCTATAGTCTAGTCTATAGTCTAGTCTATAGTCTAGTCTATAGTCTAGTCTATAGTCTAGTCTATATAGTCTAGCAAGTCTAGTCTATAGTCTAGTCTATAGTTAGTCTATAGTCTAGTCTATAGTCTAGTCTATAGTCTAGTCTATAGTCTAGTCTATAGTCTAGTCTATAGTCTAGTCCTATAGTCTAGTCTATAGTCTAGTCTATAGTCTAGTCTATAGTCTAGTCATAGTCTAGTCTATAGTCTAGTCTATAGTCTAGTCTATAGTCTAGTCTATAGTCTAGTCTATAGTCTAGTCTATAGTCTAGTCTATAGTCTAGTCTATAGTCTAGTCTATAGTCTAGTCTATAGTCTAGTCTATAGTCTAGTCTATAGTCTAGTCTATAGTCTAGTCTATAATCTAGTCTATAGTCTAGTCTATAGTCTAGTCTATAGTCTAGTCTATAGTCTAGCCTATAGTCTAGTCTATAGTCTAGTCTATAGTCTAGTCTATACTCTAGTCTAAAATCTAAAGTCTAAAAAGTCTTACACTTTTAAAAGTCTTTTATCTTTAGTCTATATTCTAATGTCTAGTCTATAGTCTACAGACCAGTGTATAGTCTAAAGTCTAGTCTATATTCTAGTCTATAGTCTAGTCTATATTCCAGTCTATAGTCTATTGTATAGTCTAGGTGTTAGTCCAAAGTCTAGTCTATTGTTTAGTCTATAGCCTTGTCTGTAGTCAAGTCTATAGTATAGTCTACTACCTAGTCTAGTTATAGTCTTATCAATAACATAGTTTATGGTCTATTCTATATTCTAGTATATAGTCCAGTCTTTAGTCTAGTCTTTAGTCTAGTCTATAGTCTAAAATAGTTTATATTTGAGTCTACTTTTTAGTCTTTAGTCTAGTCTAGCAATTGTCTAGGATACAGTCTAATCAAGAGTAGTAATATATTGACTACTCTTATGTTTTCCATAAGGAAATAGTTTTGATTTTCTCTACTATTGAAATCTTTCTAAACTTCTAACATCAAATTAACAAAAATTTGTTAAAAACGACAACAATAGTTTTTTTTTCAATAAATAATGATTTGAAAGACAAAAGACATATTTTTCAAAATCAAATAGACAGACATTCGACAAATGGACATTTACAAAATTTTTTAAATAATATTATTATTCTGTTAAAAAGACATTCACATATAAAAGCTAAATAATTAAAATATTATTTTTTCTTTTATTTGTTAATAATAAATCTTAAAAATTAACTTAAAATTAACCGTTACCGTAGAAAAAAATAGAAACTTAACTTATTTAGTTTCATTTTTATTTATTATTTAATTTAAGCGTTTCTTGTTTAAGACAGAAAAACTAAAAGCGGACAAAAACGTTAAACTACTTTTGCCAAACAGTAACTGATAACGACTACAAATGAAAATTTTAGTAAAAAAAATAAAGTGCTAATAATTATAAAAATTAAAAAACCCAAAACCAAACCATGCAAAGCAGTTTTAGTATTAAATATTAGTAGTTATTTAAAAAATAAATAAATTTAAACAAAATATGTTTTTTTTTTTCTTTAAAATAAAAAAGTTTTCAGTTTAGAAAAAAAAAACAAAATGAATTCATAAAAGACGAAAGAAAATTTGAGAAAAAAAAAAACGAAACAAATTTTAAGAAAGAGAAAAGAGAGAAAAAACACTCACCCGCTTAATTCTAGCATAGAACCACGACGCACATTACGACGATGACTGGCTGTCACAGGGAAGGGACCGGCATGACCCTCACTTATGCCCGAGCCAGATGATATCGATTGGGAACGTTTGTCAAGGCGAGGATTATATGCAGTTGAAGGCACAACCATGCTGCTTAGAGCAGCTGCTAAAGCTGGATCCGAACCTCGGGCAGAACAGGCTCCATCTAAGCCATCAGTGCCACCAATACTGTTGCCACCACGAGAACCAGAACTTTCACGACGGAAAAGACCTATGACGGACTTGGGCTGTTTAGGTTTATTTATACCACCTGAGTTTGTTTGTAAGTGTGTGTGGGTGGGTGGTTGTATATATAAAATTTTGGTGAAATTTTTTAAAGTGAATGTGTGGAAGTGAGTGAAAGTGGTTGGTGAATTCGTGCATTTTTTATAAGAAAAAGTACAAAATTTTAAAACACAATACGTTTTTTTTTTTTTTTTTTTGAAGGTGGGCGGGCAGCATTCATTCAGTCATTTAATTCAAATTGGTGTTTTTTATTTTGTTTTTGTAGTGTTGATAGTTGTTGTTGTTTTTATGTTATAAGGATTTTTTTTGTTTTAAGGAGTTTCCAAATCATATTTAGAGTTTAGAGTAGAGTAGAAGTTGTTAAAATGGTAACCGAAAAATATACAGAAAAAAGAAAGAAACAAGAAAAATTAAATAAATTAACAAAATTTTTTCTTCATTAACTTCTTCTTCTTTTTTATGTAATAAAATTAAAAGAAAAAAACAACCAACTAAGAGAAAATAACTGCAAACCAACAAACAGGTGTTTGATAAATTATTTTTAATTTAATTTTTTTTTTTAACTTCTTGGATTATTTTTTATAAATTTTATACAAAAGTGCATCATAACAACAATAACCAATTAAAATTTTATTTTTTTTTATGAGATATATACATAAGCTTCTTAAGCATAATCTAATTAAAATTTTATGCAAAGTTTATAAAACTTAATTTTTTAAAAATTAATTTTTATAAAAACGAAAAACATTATAATTTAATTATGCATAATGGCATTAATATATACATAAATTTAAATTTTCCAATAGTTATGAATATTTTAATAAGCTAATTTTTAAGTGGGCAAAATAGAAACTTACAAATTTATTAACATGCTTTTTTAAACAAAATGCTATTTATAGAAAAATTATATGCTTTTATGTTTGACTGATTGATTAATGTTTTTGTAGGCACTTCAAGCTATAGGAATCTTAATGGAAATTTTTATATCACAGTGTTTTTGTTTCTGAGCTATTTTTTGGCGAATACTATAAGACTAGAGTCCAGACTATAGTCTTATACTAGCGATCATGTAGTCTACAGTCTAGTCTATAGTCTAGTATATAGTCTAGTCTATAGATATAGATTGTCTAGTCTATAGTCTAGTCTATAGTCTAGTCTATAGTCTAGTCTATAGTCTAGACTATAGTCTAGACTATAGTCTAGTCTATAGTCTAGTCTATAGTCTAGTCTATAGTCTAGTCTATAGTCTAGTCTATAGTCTAGTCTATAGTCTAGTCTATAGTCTAGTCTATAGTCTAGTCTATAGTCTAGTCTATAGTCTAGTCTATAGTCTAGTCTATAGTCTAGTCTATAGTCTAGTCTATAGTCTAGTCTATAGTCTAGTCTATAGTCTAGTCTATAGTCTAGTCTATAGTCTAGTCTATAGTCTAGTCTATAGTCTAGTCTATAGTCTAGTCTATAGTCTAGTCTATAGTCTAGTCTATAGTCTAGTCTATAGTCTAGTCTATAGTCTAGTCTATAGTCTAGTCTATAGTCTAGTCTATAGTCTAGTCTATAGTCTAGTCTATAGTCTAGTCTATAGTCTAGTCTATAGTCTAGTCTATAGTCTAGTCTATAGTCTAGTCTATAGTCTAGTCTATAGTCTAGTCTATAGTCTAGTCTATAGTCTAGTCTATAGTCTAGTCTATAGTCTAGTCTATAGTCTAGTCTATAGTCTAGTCTATAGTCTAGTCTATAGTCTAGTCTAGTCTAGTCTATAGTCTAGTCTATAGTCTAGTCTATAGTCTAGTCTATAGTCTAGTCTATAGTCTAGTCTATAGTCTAGTCTATAGTCTAGTCTATAGTCTAGTCTATAGTCTAGTCTATAGTCTAGTCTATAGTCTAGTCTAGTCTAGTCTATAGTAGTCTATAGTCTAGTCTATAGTCTAGTCTATAGTCTAGTCTATAGTCTAGTCTATAGTCTAGTCTATAGTCTAGTCTATAGTCTAGTCTATAGTCTAGTCTATAGTCTAGTCTATAGTCTAGTCTATAGTCTAGTCTATAGTCTAGTCTATAGTCTAGTCTATAGTCTAGTCTATAGTCTAGTCTATAGTCTAGTCTATAGTCTAGTCTATAGTCTAGTCTATAGTCTAGTCTATAGTCTAGTCTATAGTCTAGTCTATAGTCTAGTCTATAGTCTAGTCTATAGTCTAGTCTATAGTCTAGTCTATAGTCTAGTCTATAGTCTAGTCTATAGTAGTCTATAGTCTAGTCTATAGTCTAGTCTATAGTCTAGTCTATAGTCTAGTCTATAGTCTAGTCTATAGTCTAGTCTATAGTCTAGTCTATAGTCTAGTCTATAGTCTAGTCTATAGTCTAGTCTATAGTCTAGTCTATAGTAGTCTATAGTCTAGTCTATAGTCTAGTCTATAGTCTAGTCTATAGTCTAGTCTATAGTCTAGTCTATAGTAGTCTATAGTCTAGTCTATAGTCTAGTCTATAGTCTAGTCTATAGTCTAGTCTATAGTCTAGTCTATAGTAGTCTATGTCTATCTATAGTCTAGTCTATAGTCTAGTCTATAGTCTAGTCTATAGTCTAGTCTATAGTAGTCTATAGTCTAGTCTATAGTCTAGTCTATAGTCTAGTCTATAGTCTAGTCTATAGTCTAGTCTATAGTCTAGTCTATAGTCTAGTCTATAGTCTAGTCTATAGTCTAGTCTATAGTCTAGTCTATAGTCTAGTCTATAGTCTAGTCAGTCTAGTCCAAGTCTAGTCTATAGTCTAGTTATCGTCTAGTCTATAGTCTAGTCTATAGTCTAGTCTATAGTCTAGTCTATAGTCTAGTCTATAGTCTAGTCTATAGTCTAGTCTATAGTCTAGTCTATAGTCTAGTCTATAGTCTAGTCTATAGTCGTACTGTCTATCAGTCTAGGTCTATAGTCTAGTCTATAGTCTAGTCTATTAGTCTAGTCTATAGTTAGTCTATGTCTAGTCGAAGTCTATAGTCTAGTATATAGTCTAGTCTATAGTCTAGTCTATAGTCTAGTCTATAGTCTAGTCTATAGTCTAGTCTATAGTCTAGTCTATAGTCTAGTCTATAAGGTCTAGTCTAATAGTTAGTCTATAGTCTAGTCTATAGTCTAGTCTATAGTCTAGTCTATAGCCTAGTCTATAGTCTAGTACTATAGTCTAGTCTATAGTCTAGTCTATAGTCTAGTCTATAGTCTAGTCTATAGTCTAGTCTATAGTCTAGTCTATAGTCTAGTCTATAGTCTAGTCTATAGTCTAGTCTATAGTCTAGTCTATAGTCTAGTCTATAGTCTAGCTATAGTCTAGTCTATAGTCTAGTCTATAGTCTAGTCTATAGTCTAGTCCTATAGTCTAGTCTATAGTCTAGTCTATAGTCTAGTCTATAGTCTAGTCTATAGTCTAGTCTATAGTCTAGTCTATAGTCTAGTCTATAGTCTAGTCTATAGTCTAGTCTATAGTCTAGTCTATAGTCTAGTCTATAGTCTAGTCTATAGTCTAGTCTATAGTCTAGTCTATAGTCTAGTCTATAGTCTAGTCTATAGTCTAGTCTATAGTCTAGTCTATAGTCTAGTCTATAGTCTAGTCTATAGTCTAGTCTATAGTCTAGCTATAGTCTAGTCTATAGTCTAGTCTAAGTTAGTCTATAGTTTAGTCTATAGTCTAGTCTATAGTCTGTCTACAGTCTAGTCTATAGTCTAGTCTATAGTCTGGTCTATAGTTTAGTCTGTAGTCTAGTCTGTAGTCTAGTCGTAGTCTAGTCCTATAGTCTAGTCTGTAGTCTAGTCTGTAGTCTAGTCTATAGTCTAGTCTATAGTCTAGTCTATAGTCTAGACTATAGTCTAGTCTATAGTCTAGTCTATAGTCTAGTCTATAGTCTAGTCTATAGTCTAGTCTATAGTCTAGTCTATAGTCTAGTCTATAGTCTAGTCTATAGTCTAGTCTATAGTCTAGTCTATAGTCTAGTCTATAGTCTAGTCTATAGTCTAGTCTATAGTCTAGTCTATAGTCTAGTCTATATTCTAAACTATAGGTTATCCTGTAGTCTAGTTTCAATTCTAGTTTGTAGTCTCGTCTGCAGTCTATTGTATACTATAGTTTAGTCTTTATTCTAGTTTGTAGTCTACTCTGTAGTCTTGTCTATATTTTAGTCTATAGTCTAGTCTACAGTCTAGGCTATAGTCCAGTCTAGTATATAGCTTAATCTATAGTTTAGTTTATAATTTAGTCTATAGTCCAGTGTATAGTCTCCTTTCAAGTGCTGCCTATAGTCAAGTAAAAATTTCAAACAAATTTTAGTACAAAAACACTGTGCTGTGTTTAAAAACCAATTAAATACAGTTATGAATTTTATGATTTTAAATATTTCCAACTAAAATTTGTATTGCATTGTTTTTTTTTTTTATTTTTCTAAAGCTAAAATTTTCTCTAAAAGCTAAAAACTACATTGCATTTAATCACAATACTTTACCTAAAAATGTAGCACTTGGTGAATTATAGGCCAAATATTCTTTATTTGAGGCCCATGCAGGGAATTCATTTTGTTGTACAGCATCAGATATCTCATCACCTTGACGTTTCCATGGTAATTGTGATTCGGTGGCTGTGGGTGTGGCAACACGTCGTTCATCACCCGAATCCCGAAGATTGCGATCTTCTTCGGGTATGGCATTCTCTGCTACTAAGGTAATAGTGGTTTTTAAAAAAAAGGAAAAGAAAATAAAATATATATTAATATAATTCTGTTTTAATTTAAATGGAATTGTTAACAACATAAAGCTAAACATAAAGAAACACGTTTCTTGTTTTAAAACAAATACTAATATTTTTGTTTTCAATTGAAAATCAATCAAAATAAAAGTCAAAAACTGTTACAAACTAAAATCATAATCAGATAGATAGTTACAAGAAGTTGATTCCAATCAAAAAATAAATTACATGCAATAAATTGTGTAAAAAAGTATATATATATAATTTTGTGTTTATAAAAATTGTGTATAATTCATTGAGTAAAATTACATTGTGCTGGGGTAGGAAAAAGAGCAGATATTATTAGAAATATTGGGATTTATGAAGACTATGACAAATGTAATATTCTCAATGTTGTGTGGTGATAGTGTGTGTGTGACATTTATGTATGTGTGCAAATGTATTGTTCTTGTTTTTTTTAATGTAAATCCTTTACAAAATAGTAAAATTTATATAGACTACACAATAGAGTAGTCCATTGAATGGTCAATAAACTAGTCCATACACTAGTCGACAGACTAGTACATAGGCTAATCCATAGGCTAGTCGATAAACTAGTCTACAGACTAGTCCATTGACTGATCCATACACTAGTCCATATACTAGTCGATAGACTAGTCCATATACCAGTCGATAGATAGTAGATAGACTATAGACTAGTCTACAGACTAGTCCATTGACTGGCCCATACACTAGTCCATAGACCATAGACAAGTCCACTGACTAGTCAATAGACTAGTCCATGGACCATAGACTAGTCGATATGTTAGTCCATGGACCATAGACTAGTCGATAGATTAGTCCGTGGATCATAGACTAGTCCATTGACTATTCAATAGACTCGTCCATATACTAGTCGACTGATTAGTCCATAGATCCATTGACTAGTCAATAGACTAGTCCATAGACCATACCTAGTCAATAAACCAGGACCAGCCAATGGACTACTCTATAGGCTAGTCCATAGACTAGTCGATAGAGAAGATAATAGACTAGTCCATAGAATACATACTAGTCTATAGACTAGTCTACAGTCTAGTCCATTGACTGGTCCATAAATTAGCTGATAGACTAGTCTACAGTCTAGTCCATTGGCTGATCCATACACTAGTCGATAGACTAGTCCACAGACTTGTCCATTGACTGGTCCATAAACAAGTCGATAGTCTAGTCCATAGATTAGTCGAGAGACTAGTTTATAGACTAGTCCATAGACTAGTCCATTAGCTGATCAATAAACGAGTCTATACACTAGTCACTAGACTAGTCCATACACTTGTCCATAGGTTAGTCGTTAGACTAGTCCATAGACTAATCACTAATCTAGTTCATAGACTAGTCGGACCATTCTCCTGAGTTACGTTCACATTAAATAAATATATATGCAACAGAATTGTTGTAAGCAATACCTTCAGCGTCTATTTAATTGACATAACCAAAGTTTTGCAAAAACAAACAATTTAATTAAACTTAATTTCTTAATTAAACTGAAATTTAAGAAAACATACATATTTATGTAGTTGTTTAACAACTTCAGCAGTGTGAACGCAACTTAAGAAAATTTTGCAGCATAAATTTTTGTAAACAAATTTCTTTAAACATAAAGCATACTTTAAGGGCTTTTTAAAATATTTTATAAAGGATTTTCACAGTATTAAAATGATTTAAAGTTTACAGAAGTTTTTTGTTATTTAACAAAGAAAACTTATGATTTAATAAGTTCTTTATAAAAAATAAGCTTAAAACTTTTGTTAAACTTAACCCTTTATTTCTCGCCTATAAAACTTGGTGCAAATTAAAATAACCAAAAAAAAGAACAAAATCAATTTAAATAAAAAAACTTAAAAAATACAAAATTTTGTTTCAATTCATGCACAAAAATGCCATGCTTTTTTTGTTGTTTGTTTGTTCATTATGTTAATTAATTAATTTTTTTGTAGACAAATTTATAATAATCTCTCTTAATAAATTAAAAGGCTGTAAAATGTATGACAAAAAAAAAAAATAAATATACAGAGTAATTTCGTTTAAAATTAAACAAATAATATAAATTTTAAATATGAAGATGTACTATGACACAAAATTATATGAAATTTTTTTATTTGACTTAAAGCATCCTAAGGTAACGCTACTTTTACGTATAAATTTATTTATAAGATTTTTTTAATTGCTAAATATTTAATATTGAAGGCACAACAACATTGATGAAAAATGTTTTTTTCTTATTAATTTCTAAGGCAAACTAATTTGGCAATTCATGGAGAGTTCTATGGTTTTCATTCTACTAAAATGATGTTTATAAAAGCCAAGCTGGTTTTCTGATTTGGTTTCTTCTAAAAAGAATTATTTACACTTATTTTTTGTTTAAATAAAGAAGGATATTTTTTAAATAGGGAGTTAACAAACTTTAAAAATTATTAATGGTGTAACAAAATCCAAATCATGACAAGTATTTTATTGTCCAAAAGTGCTGCAAATATGATATGACTAGAATGTGATTGGACTGGTCATGTATTGGGTGTAAAACTTCTCAACTTCTGTTGATGGGTATGCTGAACTCAACTAGAACTGAAGTAGAACTGAACTAGAACTGAACTAGAACTGAACTAGAACTGAACTAGAATTGAACTAGAACTGAACTAGAACTGAACTAGAACTGAACTAGAACTGAACTAGAACTGAACTAGAACTGAACTAGAACTGAACTAGAACTGAACTAGAACTGAACTAGAACTGAACTAGAACTGAACTAGAACTGAACTAGAACTGAACTAGAACTGAACTAGAACTGAACTAGAACTGAACTAGAACTGAACTAGAACTGAACTAGAACTGAACTAGAACTGAACTAGAACTGAACTAGAACTGAACTAGAACTGAACTAGAACTGAACTAGAACTGAACTAGAACTGAACTAGAACTGAACTAGAACTGAACTAGAACTGAACTAGAACTGAACTAGAACTGAACTAGAACTGAACTAGAACTGAACTAGAACTGAACTAGAACTGAACTAGAACTGAACTAGAACTGAACTAGAACTGAACTAGAACTGAACTAGAACTGAACTAGAACTGAACTAGAACTGAACTAGAACTGAACTAGAACTAAACTAGAACTGAACTAGAACTGAACTAGAACTGAACTAAACTGAACTAGAACTGAACTAGAACTGAACTAGAACTGAACTAGAACTGAACTAGAACTGAACTAGAACTGAACTAGAACTGAACTAGAACTGAACTAGAACTGAACTAGAACTGAACTAGAACTGAACTAGAACTGAACTAGAACTGAACTAGAACTGAACTAGAACTGAACTAGAACTGAACTAGAACTGAACTAGAACTGAACTAGAACTGAACTAGAACTGAACTAGAACTGAACTAGAACTGAACTAGAACTGAACTAGAACTGAACTAGAACTGAACTAGAACTGAACTAGAACTGAACTAGAACTGAACTAGAACTGAACTAGAACTGAACTAGAACTGAACTAGAACTGAACTAGAACTGAACTAGAACTGAACTAGAACTGAACTAGAACTGAACTAGAACTGAACTAGAACTAGAACTGAACTAGAACTGAACTAGAACTGAACTAGAACTGAACTAGAACTGAACTAGAACTGAACTAGAACTGAACTAGAACTGAACTAGAACTGAACTAGAACTGAACTAGAACTGAACTAGAACTGAACTAGAACTGAACTAGAACTGAACTAGAACTGAACTAGAACTGAACTAGAACTGAACTAGAACTGAACTAGAACTGAACTAGAACTGAACTAGAACTGAACTAGAACTGAACTAGAACTTAACTAGAACTGAACTAGAACTGAACTAGAACTGAACTAGAACTGAACTAGAACTGAACTAGAACTGAACTAGAACTGAACTAGAACTGAACTAGAACTGAACTAGAACTGAACTAGAACTGAACTAGAACTGAACTAGAACTGAACTAGAACTGAACTAGAATTTAACTAGAACTGAGCTAGAACTGAAAAAAGTTTTTAGAAGTGCTGATGATTTAGAATAAAAAATGTGGAAGATGTTGGTATGTTGGTACCACAAATTTTAAAAATTTACACCATTAATTATTTTTAACAATTTTAATAAAAAAAAATATATAAATAAAAGCAAAAATATGGAATTTAAATATTAAGTGCGGGCGTATTTCAAATATCGGTCATATAAAAAAGTCATGATAATACCAATAACTAAACTATTATTAAAAATTTTGCCATGAACTGAGTTATATCAGCTGGATTATTAAAATACACGTTGTCTTCAAAATGGCTTTTAAAAATAGATGGATATAGATGAGGATTACTTTCAACAAATAATAATAATGAAACGATTTTTGCATAAATTATTAAAATAAACTAAAACACTGCACTACAAATGTAGAGAAATACTAAAAAATATATAATTTAGAAAAAAAAGTTATGAGTTTTTTTTCTTTTGTAATATTTTTTGTTTTTTTTTGGGATGCAGCGGCATTTACCAATGCTTTGATAGGAACGATCCCTGCGCCAGGGTAATATAAGTTCGGCCGCTGTGGGGCCAATCGGAGGATCATCGGGTGAAAGTAGTTTTTCCGGACTTTCACAAGAACTGTTGTGCTGTGACGACGACGATGGTGCGGCATAATGTTGAACAATTCGAGCTTTAGAAGCATCAAAACCGGGTAGATTTTGTATATGAGCAATTAATGAATTATTATTGGCACGATCCGAATCCGCTGTGTTTTATATATATATTTTTTTTAATATATATATTTTTTTGTTTTTTTAACAAAATGTTTTTTGTAATATTTGGCAAAGTGTGTTTTTTTACAAAGTTTTTTTTTTTTTTTTTTTTTTTTGTTTTTTGATATAAAGTTAGCAATACATTTTATTTTTTTAAATAGAAGAATATAAATAAATAAAAAGAAAAATTGTTAAAGTTTTAAATAAAATTTAAACTAAAAACTTTGTTAAATTAATTTAAATTATTTAGTTAAAATTTTAAAAAAATTAATTTTATAAAAGAAATTAAATAAATCACTAAAACCAAAAATGTTGTCTTTAATTGAAAAAAAAAAATAAAAACTAGTTTTTTAATAAATTTTATGCAAAAAATTTAAATATTTTAAATTATGAAACTACTTAAGAAAATTAACACTCTGTGTTTTTATTTTTTTATATATATAAACATCAATTGTTCTAAAATATATTCGGCTAAACACAGCTTTTCTTTAAAATTAATTTTTCTTTTTTTTAATAATTAAAGAAAAAATTATAAAACTTAACCAAAAACTATGGCATTTTTGTTTGAAATATTTGTTGTTATACAAACGTAAAGAAAAACACAAAAATTATTAACAAATTATATAGATTTATAAATTAGGGGACAAAAACAATTAACGAATAAAGAAACACAAGAAAAGGAACTTAAAATATGTTTGTTTTTTTAATCTCAAAATATGTTAAAGATTTTCTTTAGTGTTTTGAGATAGAAGTAGTGAGAAGAGAGTGTGTTGGAAGTGTTTAAATGTTTTCACAATATATAGGAGAATAAAGAGATATGATAGAAGGAGGTAACTTTTTACAAATGGTCCTTCGAACCTTAAACTAGAATTGAACTAGAACTGAACTAAAACTGAACTAGAACTGAATTAGAACAGAATTAGATCAGAACTAGAACAGAACTAGAACTGAACTTGAATTGAACTAGAACTGAACTAGAACTGAACTAGAACTGAACTAGAACTGAACTGGAACTGAACTAGAACTGAACTAGAACTGAACTAGAACTGAACTAGAACTGAACTAGAACTGAACTAGAACTGAACTAGAACTGAACTAGAACTGAACTAGAACTGAACTAGAACTGAACTAGAACTGAACTAGAACTGAACTAGAACTGAACTAGAACTGAACTAGAACTGAACTAGAACTAAACTAGAACTGAACTAGAACTGAACTAGAACTAGAACTGAACTAGAACTGAACTAGAACTAGAACTGAACTAGAACTGAACTAGAACTGAACTAGAACTGAACTAGAACTGAACTAGAACTGAACTAGAACTGAACTAGAACTGAACTAGAACTGAACTAGAACTGAACTAGAACTGAACTAGAAACTGAACTAGAACTGAACTAGAACTGAACTAGACTAGAACTGAACTAGAACTGAACTAGAACTGAACTAGAACTGAACTAGAACTGAACTAGAACTGAACTAGAACTGAACTAGAAATGAACGAGAACTGAACTAGAACTGAACTAGAACTGAATTAGAACTGAACTAGAACGAACTAGAACTGAACTAGAACTGAATTAGAACTGAACTAGAACAGAACTGAACTAGAACTGAACTAGAACTGAACTAGAACTGAACTAGAACTGAACTAGAACTGAACTAGAACTGAACTAGAACTGAATTAGAACTGAACTAGAACTGAAGTAGAACTGAACTAGAACTGAACTAGAACTGAACTAGAACTGAACTAGAACTGAACTAGAACTGAACTAGAACTGAACTAGAACTGAACTAGAACTGAACTAGAACTGAACTAGAACTGAACTAGAACTGAACTAGAACTGAACTAGAACTGAACTAGAACTGAACTAGAACTAAACTAGAACTGAACTAGAACTGAACTAGAACTGAATTAGAACTGAACTAGAACTGAACTAGAACTGAACTAGAACTGAACTAGAACTGAACTAGAACTGAACTAAACTGAACTAGAACTAACTAGATACGGAACTAGAACTGAACTAGAACTGAAACTAGAACAGAACCTAGAACTGAACTAGAACTGAACTAGACTGAACTAGAACTGAACTAGAACTGAAACTGAATGAACTAGAACTGACTAAGAACTGAACTAGAACTGAACTAGAACTGAACTAGAACTGAACTAGAACTGAACTAGAACTGAACTAGAACTGAACTAGAACTGAACTAGAACTGAACTAGAAACTGAACTAGAACTGAACTAGAACTGAACTAGAACTGAACTAGAACTGAACTAGAACTGAACTAGAACTGAACTAGAACTGAACTAGAACTGAACTAGAACTGAACTAGAACTGAACTAGCACTGACTAGAACTGAACTAGACTGAACTAGAACTAGAACTGAACTAGAACTGAACTAGAACTGAACTAGAACTGAACTAGAACTGAACTAGAACTAGAACTAGAACTGACTAGAACTGAACTAGAACTGAACTAGAACTAGAACTAGAACTGAACTAGAACTGAACTAGAACTGAACTAGAACTAGAACTGAACTAGAACTGAACTAGAACTGAACTAGAACTGAACTAGAACTAGAACTGACTAGAACTAGACTGAACTAGAACTGAACTAGAACTGAACTAGAACTGAACTAGAACTGACTAGAACTGAACTAGAACTGAACTAGAACTGAACTAGAACTGAACTGGAACTGAACTAGAACTGAACTAGAACTGAACTAGAACTGAACTAGAACTGAACTAGAACTGAACTAGAACTGAACTAGAACTGAATTAGAACTGACTAGAACTGAACTAGAACTGAACTAGAACTGAACTAGAACTGAACTAGAACTGAACTAGAACTGACTAGAACTGAACTAGAACTGAACTAGAACTGAACTAGAACTGAACTAGAACTGAACTAGAACTGAACTAGAACTGAACTAGAACTAGAACTAGAACTAGAACTAGAACTGAACTAGAACTGAACTAGAACTAGAACTGAACTAGAACTGAACTAGAACTGAACTAGAACTAGAACTGAACTAGAACTGAACTAGAACTGAACTAGAACTAACTAGAACTGAACTAGAACTGAACTAGAACTGAACTAGAACTGAACTAGAACTGAACTAGAACTGAACTAGAACTGAACTAGAACTGAACTAGAACTGAACTAGAACTGAACTAAACTGAACTAGAACTGAACTAGAACTGAACTAGAACTGAACTAGAACTGAACTAGAACTGAACTAGAACTGAACTAGAACTGTACTAGAACTGTACTAGAACTGTACTAGAACTGAACTAGAACTGAACTAGAACTGAACTAGAACTGAACTAGAACTGAACTAGAACTGAACTAGAACTAAACTAGAACTGAAATAGAACTGAAATAGAACTGAACTAGAACTGAACTAGAACTGAACTAGAACTGAACTAGAACTGAACTAGAACTGAACTAGAACTGAACTAGAACTGAACTAGAACTGAACTAGAACTGAACTAGAACTGAACTAGACTAAACTAGAACTGAAATAGAACTGAAATAGAACTGAACTAGAACTGAACTAGAACTGAACTAGAACTGAACTAGAACTGAACTAGAACTGAACTAGAACTGAACTAGAACTGAACTAGAACTGAACTAGAACTGAACTAGAACTGAACTAGAACTAGAACTGAACTAGAACTGAACTAGAACTAAATTAGAACTGAACTAGAACTGAATTAGAACTGAACTAGAACTGAACTAGAACTAGAACTGAATTAGAACTGTACTAGAACTGTACTAGAACTGTACTAGAACAGAACTAGAACTGAACTAGAACTGAACTAGAACTAAAAATTGCAACATAGATTTTTCTAAAATCAATCAACATTTTCATTCGAATTTAATTTAATAATGCGAAGAGAAAATGTAAAGATTCAAGAATGTTTTTATAATTTCGAAAATTCTAACATAAATATTTGGAAATTCAGTATATAGCCTCCATTTTCTAAAACTTCTACAAATTTTAATATTAAAAATAACTCAAAGGTTCGAAGGACCATTTCGTTTTTCACTCTCATTCATTTCCCAACATTTATATGTGAAAACATATTGTTTCTAGTTTGAAAGCAAAAAAAACTCAAAAATTTAACAAAATGAAAACTGTAAGTATTGAAAAAAAAACTTAAAATTGAAGAAATAAATATTCACGATAACAAATAATAAATAACAAGAAAATTAATTAAAAAAAAAACGAAAAAAATTTCAATGATACAAATTCTCAAAGCTTGGATTGAAAACATAAATCTGATATGATTACAAGTGTAATTAATATAAACAAAATATAAAAATGTAAAAAGAACTAATGTAATACTTACGTGATGATTTCGCCGTAAATGTAAGACCATCATCCCAGTCATCGTTGGCTCCTACTACAGTAACTTCGGTGAGTTTATTTGGATTTTCCTCGACTGTGTCACTAAGAACTTCATTAATATAATTGTCTTTATTAGTGATGTTTTGCAAAACAATTTCGGTTTTATTTGTTATTTTTTTCGAAGATGAAAGGGGGTGTTGTTTGATGGATTGATGGTTGTTTTTAGTATTGGTTTGTTTGATTTCATGTTGTTTTGATTTGTTTGTTAAGATTTGTTGATTATTTTTTAAAGATGATTTAATAAAATGTGCAGATGTTAGATGGAGTTGTTAGATTTACATTAGATTTATTTTTAAATGGTTAATTTTATTTTTTTTGTAATATTTACACATCACCCAATTAGTTAGCGCAATTTTTTGAAATAGAGAGGAAAAGAATGAAAAAAAGAGTTGAATTTTTATGATGAGTTTAAAAATGTACAAATGATTTGATATAATTTTTTTATTTTTATTCAATTTTTTTTTTCTATAAAATGTTTAAAAATTTTGTTAAGGATTTTCTTTAGGGCGTAATTTTCTAAGCTTCATTTCAACTGTAAAAAGGATGTAGGGTACGATTGTTTAATTCTTTCCATTTGAAACGCATTAAACAATATAAGGCCCTTTAAGTTTTTTTTTTTTTTGTTCAAACAATTGTTATGTAAGTGTTATTATAATGAAATGTATGTAAAATGTCATGTAATGTAATGTAATGGAATTGTTTTGTTTTTTATCACAAAAATGTGTAAAAAGAAACTCATAGGTAAATAACAAAAAAAAGTAAAGAAATTAAATTTTAAAAAAAATGTTTATCAAATATGTCAGTTTTGTTTAAAATTCCAAACACAAAATTTAAGAAACGATGTTACAATTTGTTCTGAAAAACTAGTTCTAAAACGAGTACAAACAGAACCAGAACTAAACAGGACTTAACTAGAAATGAACAAGAACTGAACTAGAACTGAACTAGAACTGAACTAAACTGAACTAGAACTGAACTAGAACTGAACTAGAACTGAACTAGAACTGAACTAGAACTGAACTAGAACTGAACTAGAACTGAACTAGAACTACTAGAACGAACTAGAACTGAACTAGAACTGAACTAGAACTGAACTAGAACTAACTAGAACTGGAACTAGAACTGAATAGAACTGAACTAGAACTGAACTAGAACTGAACTAGAACTGAACTAGAACTGAACTAGAACTGAACTAGAACTGAACTAGAACTGAACTAGAACTGAACTAGAACTGAACTAGAACTGAACTAGAACTGAACTAGAACTGAACTAGAACTGAACTAGAACTGAACTAGAACTGAACTAGAACTGAACTAGAACTGAACTAGAACTGAACTAGAACTGAACTAGAACTGAACTAGAACTGAACTAGAACTGAACTAGAACTGAACTAGAACTGAACTAGAACTGAACTAGAAAAACTGAACTGAACTGAACTGAACTGAAGAACTGAACTAGAACTGAACTAGAACTGAACTAGAACTGAACTAGAACTGAACTAGAACTGAACTAGAACTGAACTAGAACTGAACTAGAACTGAACTAGAACTGAACTAGAACTGAACTAGAACTGAACTAGAACTGAACTAGAACTGAACTAGAACTGAACTAGAACTGAACTAGAACTGAACTAGAACTGAACTAGAACTGAACTAGACGACTAGAACTGAACTAGAACTGAACTAGAACTGAACTAGAACTGAACTAGAACTGAACTAGAACTGAACTAGAACTGAACTAGAACTGAACTAGAACTGAACTAGAACTGAACTAGAACTGAACTAGAAACTGAATAGAACTGAACTAGAACTGAACTAGAACTGAACTAGAACTGAACTAGAACTGAACTAGAACTGAACTATAGAACTGAACTAGAACTGAACTAGAAAAGAACTGAACTAGACTGAACTAGAACTGAACTAGAACTGAACTAGAACTGAACTAGAACTGAACTAGAACTGAACTAGAACTGAACTAGAACTGAACTAGAACTGAACTAGAACTGAACTAGAACTGAACTAGAATGACTAGAACTGAACTAGGAACTGAACTAGAACTGAACTAGACAACTGAACTACCTACTGAACTGAGACTAGAACTGAACTAGAACTGAACACTGACTAGAACTGAACTAGAACTGAACTAGAACTGAACTATAACTGAACTAGATGAACTAGAACTGAACTAGAACTGAACTAGAACTGAACTAGAACTGAACTAGAACTGAACTAGAACTGAACTAGAACTGAACTAGAACTGAACTAGAAATGAACTAGAACTGAACTAGAACTGAACTAGAACTGAACTAGAACTGAACTAGAACTGAACTAGAACTGAACTAGAACTGAACTAGAACTGAACTAGAACTGAACTAGAACTGAACTAGAACTGAACTAGAACTGAACTAGAACTGAACTAGAACTGAACTAGAACTGAACTAGAACTGAACTAGAACTGAACTAGAACTGAACTAGAACTGAACTAGAACTGAACTAGAACTGAACTAGAACTGAACTAGAACTGAACTAGAACTGAACTAGAACTGAACTAGAACTGAACTAGAACTGAACTAGAACTGAACTAGAACTGAACTAGAACTGAACTAGAACTGAACTAGAACTGAACTAGAACTGAACTAGAACTGAACTAGAACTGAACTAGAACTGAACTAGAACTGAACTGAACTGAACTGAACTAGAACTGAACTGAACTGAACTAGAACTGAACTAGAACTGAACTAGAACTGAACTAGAACTGAACTAGAACTGAACTAGAACTGAACTAGAACTGAACTAGAACTGAAATAGAACTGAACTAGAACTGAACTAGAACTGAACTAGAACTGAACTAGAACTGAACTAGAACTGAACTAGAACTGAACTAGAACTGAACTAGAACTGAACTAGAACTGAACTAGAACTGAACTAGAACTGAACTAGAACTGAACTAGAACAAACTAGAACATGAACTAGAACTGAACTAGAACTGAACTAGAACTGAACTAGAACTGAACTAGAACTGAACTAGAACTGAACTAGAACTGAACTAGAACTGAACTAGAACTGAACTAGAACTGAACTAGAACTGAACTAGAACTGAACTAGAACTGAACTAGAACTGAACTAGAACTGAACTAGAACTGAACTAGAACTGAACTAGAACTGAACTAGAACTGAACTAGAACTGAACTACTGAACTAGACTGACTAGAACTGAACTAGAACTGACTAGAACTGAACTAGACTGAACTAGAACTGAACTAGAACTGACTAGAACTGAACTAGAACTGAACTAGAACTGAACTAGAACTGGAACTAGAACTGCACTAGACTGAACTAGAACTGAACTAGAACTGAACTAGAACTTGAACTAGAACTGAACTAGAACTGAACTAGAACTGAACTAGAACTGAACTAGAATGAACTAGAACTAACTAGAACTGAACTAGAACTAAACTAGAACTAATCTAGAACTAACTAGAAATGAATAAGAACTGAACTAGAACTGAACTAGAACTGAACTAGAACTGAACTAGAACTGAACTAGGAACTAAACTAGAACTGAACTACAGAACTAGAACAAAGAACAATAGACATATTTGTTAAACATAAAATAAAACACTTACCAAAAAAAAAAAAATATTTAAAAAATTAACAAAAAGAAGTATGTAATTGTTAAACAAATTGCCAACATCTACAAAATTTTCCTAAAATATCAGAACATCTACATGTTTTAAATAAATTTTTTAACTAAAATCCTTATTACAAATTGACAACACAAAAAACACACGCAATAAAATTTACAAACAAAATTTTAAATAAAAATATTTAAAATTATAAATTTCTCTTAAACTGCGGGTTTTCTCAAGTAATTGTAAATTTAATTGATTTTGAATTTAAATTATTTAGACAAAAAAAAAAAGATTTTTTTCTTTTTTTTATAAAAATTTAGCCATTTACCTATTTCTAATCTACGATATTTGTTAAGTGAATTGTGAGAATGTTTTCTGATTAGTTTTTTGCGTAAATTTGTTTCATTCTTACTCGTACCGTGCGAGAATTGTTTCGTTGTTCCATTCTGTTGGAAATCATGGAATGAGACATGATTTTGTTTAACGCCATCTTGATGCTAATTATTATTTGTGATTGCAGAAAATTAAAGAAATAGAAATATTAATTTTTTTTTAAATTGAAAACTTAAAAAAATAACAGAATTACTACCTTACTAGCACCACGTTTGCTGCGTTTATGATGTTTACGGTCGTTGAACATGCGACGGAAATTCATTTGCATTTTATAATTCACCTAAAATGAAAAAGCAAATCGAAGAAATCGATTAATATAAAATTTTCAAAATTTTTGAAATTTTTTCAATATAATTTATTTATGTTAATAATAAAGGAACTCAGTTGATTCTCTGTGTTTGACTTGAGTTGAGTGCTTTGTTTTGTTTGTACTCACCTGTGTGGATAGATCTCTGTCATCTACGGCGTGACGGCTATAACTAAGACGACGGTGCTGTAAAAACGAAAACTCAATTTTACTAAAAAATGGCTAACATAAAAATTGTTTGTTTTTTAATTGCAAATAAACATTAAATTTTTTTTGAATAATAGTTCCAAAAATTATTATTAATATTTAATAGACACATATCAAAATAAAAAAATTATTATATTAAACTTTAATTTGAAAAGAAAATTTTTAAAGTGATTTAAAAAAATTCAACATTAAACTTTACATTTAATTGAGTGAAAAAGAATAATACAAAGTGAAGTGATATCCAAAAGAAATTAGTGTTGATGAAATTATAGAATAAACTGGTTCGAAGGACCATATTCAAAGCAATGTTAGATAAAAATTAACATTATTTTTTGTTGAAAACTTTAAATTTAATGAAAATATAGAGTGAATTATTCAAATTAATTTACAGTTTTAAAAAATATTCAAAAATATCTTGGGCTCGTAGGACCACTACAACACTAATTTCTTTCCTTTTACTTTTCACCTCAAGTGAATTTTTTTTTAATTTTTATGACTTGTTATATGCTATAAATATTACAATTAAAGCTTTTTTTGAGTGATCTTAAAAATTTACATATAAAGTGCTATCAGAAAACATCAAAGTGTAGTTATTAAAAATAAAAATTGGAACTAAAAATTTGAATTTAAAGAAAAAAATTTGAAAACATGCAAACTGAAAATCAAAAGAAATCAAATAAATGCAAATTAGAATAAAAACTAAACTTATATACAAATAAAATATTTACAATTGGCAAGCGTTAAAGTAAGAAAATTGAAGATAAAATCTTTTAGAATTTCAAATGCAAATTAATAGGTTAAGTTTAAACAATAAAACAAAGTCGTTTTCGTAAAAAAAAATATTGGTCCAAATGTGAATGTCAAATAGACTGTAGTCCAGGCAACAGACCGGACTATAGACTGTACAATAGTCCAGCCTATATACTAGACTCTAGTCAATAGTCCGAATTAAAAACCAGATTATAGCCTTGACTATCAATAGATTATAATCTACATAATAACCAGATTATAGACTATAATCTAGACTATAGCCTAGACAATTGCGAAAACCATAGACTAGATTATTTAGACGACTGATGCGATCAAAGTGCAGATTATAGACCAGACTACACTATGGACTGTACCATAAACTAGCGACTAGACTGTAGTCCAGACTAGACTACAGTGTGGCTTACTGTCTAAAATATAGTCCAGACTACAGCTCAGACTATAGACTGGGCTATAAACTACAATCTAGGCTATCGACTATACTATAGTCCATACTATAGACAAGATTATAGCCCACACTTGCCTTTAGTCTAATAAATAGTCTAATAAATAGTCTAGTCTATAGTCTAGTCTATAGTCTAGTCTATAGTCTAGTCTATAGTCTAGTCTATAGTCTAGTCTATAGTCTAGTCTATAGTCTAGTCTATAGTCTAGTCTATAGTCTAGTCTATAGTCTAGTCTATAGTCTAGTCTATAGTCTAGTCTATAGTCTAGTCTATAGTCTAGTCTATAGTCTAGTCTATAGTCTAGTCTATAGTCTAGTCTATAGTCTAGTCTATAGTCTAGTCTATAGTCTAGTCTATAGTCTAGTCTATAGTCTAGTCTAGTCTATAGTCTAGTCTAGTCTATAGTCTAGTCTATAGTCTAGTCTATAGTCTAGTCTATAGTCTAGTCTATAGTCTAGTCTATAGTCTAGTCTATAGTCTAGTCTATAGTCTAGTCTATAGTCTAGTCTATAGTCTAGTCTATAGTCTAGTCTATAGTCTAGTCTATAGTCTAGTCTATAGTCTAGTCTATAGTCTAGTCTATAGTCTAGTCTATAGTCTAGTCTATAGTCTAGTCTATAGTCTAGTCTATAGTCTAGTCTATAGTCTAGTCTATAGTCTAGTCTATAGTCTAGTCTATAGTCTATAGTCTAGTCTATAGTCTAGTCTATAGTCTAGTCTATAGTCTAGTCTATAGTCTAGTCTATAGTCTAGTCTATAGTCTAGTCTATAGTCTAGTCTATAGTCTAGTCTATAGTCTAGTCTATAGTGTAGTCTATAGTCTAGTCTATAGTCTAGTCTATAGTCTAGTCTTATAGTCTAGTCTATAGTCTAGTCTATAGTCTAGTCTATAGTCTAGTCTATAGTCTAGTCTATTGTCTAGTCTACAGTCTAGTCGATATTCGTTTCTACAGTTGTGTGTATAGTGTTGTCTATAGACTAGTCTACTATCCAATCTATAGTTTAGTCTATAGTTTAGTCTATAGCCTAGTCTATAGTGTAGTCGATAATCTGGACTATAGTCTAGTCTTAAATCTAGTATATAGTCTAGACTATATTTATAGACTATCGACTATACTATAGTACAAACTATTGACTAGAATATAGATTAAATTAGACTATAGTGCAGACAACAGATTAAATTAAAGTGGAGGTTATAGACTATACTATACCTCGACTATACTATAGACTATAATGTTTGTTAATGACTAGTCCAGACTATGGACTACAGTCCAGCCTATAAACTAGAATATAGTTTAGATTATAGATGAGACTATAAACGTAGTCCAGACATATCGATAAAAATTGGTATATAAAGTAAAATATAGACTAGACTATAGTCCAAACCATAGACCTAACTATAGTGCAGACCATAGACCGAACTATATTCCAGAATATAGACCTAACAATAATCAGGAATATTGGGTTTGTCTATCGTCCAGACCAAACTATAGTCCAGATATTTGCAAAAAAAAGTAGCGGTTATGAATTTTTTGGTATTTTCATAAATTAAAATTTTTCGAAGGACCAATTTCTATATAAAAAATATTTTGTTAGATTTTGTAAATTTAAATAAATTTGGTTTAAAAATATTTAAAAATTAGTATAGTTTAGTAAAGAAAATTATGCAAAAAATGTTTAAAAATAAAATAAAATTTGCAAAAAAAAATTCAAAGAAATTGCTTTATGTTAAGAAAAAAAAATCAAAATAATTAACAATTATTTATTAGGGTTAATAAATAAATTTAAGAAAATTTATTACTAAATAACAAGAAGAGAACATTTACAAGAAAGTAAGAGAACTTTTTATTTAATTATTTCTTGGTTAAATATTAATAGAACATAGCAATTTGGAAGAAGACAAATTAACAAGAACTAAAAAAAACAATTTAAAAAAATAAATAATAAAATATTAGACAACAAAAAACAAATACAACCAATTTAAATTGTTTGTTTAATTCGTACCATTTGTATAGAGGCCTGGATACAGAGAAAAGTTTGGTTGTTTTTTTTTTTTTTTTTTTTGGAGAAATTTTGAATTTGTTTTCAAAATTTTTTAAAGAGTTTTTTGAGTTTTTAAATTGATGAATTGGATGTTGAAAAATTGCACATTGAAAAAAATAAATAATTATTATTAAAATACAAAGCCAATTAATTGATGTTATAAAAATTATAAAAAAATTTTTTGGGGAAAAAAAATTAATTATATAAAATAGCGACAAAATGAGTTTAAATTATAAATAAATTATAAAATGTAAGAAAATATTTGTCAGTTGTTGTTGATATAGAAGAAAAAAAAAGAGAAAAATATAAATAAAAATAATTTATTTAATATGATTTTAAAAGTTTAGCAAAAAAGAAGAAATAGAATAGAAATTTTAATTAAAAATTAAAATTTTAAAAAATAATAAACTTAATTTTAAAGCTAAATTTAAAAGTGTGGTTCTAAAGATAAAGTTAATGTTAATGTATAAAATGGTTTTGTTTTTTTTTAAGGAGCAACTATAAAGGAATTTTATATAAAGGAAAATTTTGAAAATTATTTATTAAATAATGGGTTCGTAGGACCATAAAGGGTAAGAAGGATTATAATTATTTTTTATTAATAAAATTCTTTTATAGTTTTTCAATACAAATAGAGCTGTGTGTTTGTGTTTTCTAGCTTAAATATTTATGTATAATAGTGTTTAAGGAATTATTTTATTTAAATTTCTGTTTAGGTTTTTTTTTAAATTCCTTATTATTTTGTAATTTTTAATATAAGTTTCAGTAAAACTTAAGAAACAACATGTATGTTTTGTAATTATGAACTTTGCATAAGAAATTGAAGTAAAACTCTTTAATTTAAAGTATTTCATTAAAAATCATAATAGAAAAATAATAATAATTATAAAAAGAATGATTTTAATGAAATTCTATGAAGAAAACGTAACAGATAATAAGCTATACATACCCTTCTATAAGGTTTCAATTCTTCAGCCAATAAATGATGTATTCTGGCATCGGTAAGATCCTTTTTGGAGGGATTATAATCCAATTCATGCATATCCAAATTACGCGAACAGGTATTATCCAAATTTGTAAGACTGGGACTAAAGTGTGTATTAAAAAGTAAATGAAGGTACAACAAAAAAAATTGGTTAATATGGTAATTTCCAAACTATAAGTTGAGCCACAACAAAGCTACAAAACAGCTATTTCAATTAATTAATAATTATTTACAATATTTGTAAAAAAAATATAAAAAAGTTTTACAATATTTGTGATAAATTTAAAAAACATATCTTTCTCTTTTCAATTATTAGTTTAAAAAAAGAAAAATTTTAATTCTACTTAAGTTAGATTTGTTATACTGTTCAATACATATATTAGTTACCAGGAAAATATTGAGAATATGTTCTCAAATCTGTGCTAACTAGTTCTAGAATAATTCCCGATTTGTTTAAAAATTTCACTTAAATATTTCCCCAATAATTTTACTTAAAAAAAGACAAGCTAGTTAGATATATGGTATATCAATGGTTAGGAAATTTTATTGCTCTTCGTGAGCAGTTCTTAAGACATTCTCTAACACTTGTCTAAAACTTTTTCCTATTCCCAATTCATGAATTCTAGAACTAGTGGATTAGATAATACAATACAATACAATACAATATTTTCCTGGGTTTTAACATTAAATTAATTAATAATTAAATAATAAACTACTTGCTATTAAATAAATAAATAAATCTAAAAGTAAACGAATTTTAGAAAATTCAGTGCAGTATTTTTTATGTTTAAAAAAATATTTTAAAGAGTTTTTTTTTTTAATTAAAAGTTAGAATTATAAAATTAGTTGTTAATTTATTGAAATACTTAATAGCGAACACAATTGTTCCTTACGTAATTTGCTTGCGTGAATGCTATTGTGAATTTTATGTTGTTCATTCACAATAGTTGTTTTTATTCTTAGCAAGTGTAAACTGTTTACAAAATTCAATCAACAAATTTTTGGCAGATGTTTTTTTTGTTATGTTATGAAGAATTGAACTAAACTTAAACTGAACTAGAACTAGAACAGGACTGAACTTCAACTGAACTACATCTGAACTACAACTGAACTAAAACTGAACTAGAACTGAATTAGAACTGAACTAGAACTGAACTAGAACTGAACTAGAACTGAATTATAACTGAATTATAACTGAACTAGAACTGAACTAGAACTGAACTGAACTAGAACTGAACTAAAACTGAACTAGAACTGAACTAGAACTGAACTAGAACTGAATTAGAACAGAATTAGAACTGAATTAGAACTGAATTAGAACTGAACTAGAACTGAATTAGAACTGAACTAGAACTGAACCAGAACTGAACTATAACTGAACTAGAACTGAACTAGAACTGAACTAGAACTGAACTAGAACTGAAGTAGAACTGAACTAGAACTGAACTAGAACTGAACTAGAACTAGAACTGAACTAGAACTGAACTAGAACTGAACTAGAACTGAACTAGAACTGAACTAGAACTGAACTAGAACTGAACTAGAACTGAACTAACTGAACTAGAACTGAACTAGAACTGAACTAGAACTGAACTAGAACTGAACTAGAACTGAACTAGAACTGAACTAGAACTGAACTAGAACTGAACTAGAACTGAACTAGAACTGAACTAGAACTGAACTAGAACTGAACTAGAACTGAACTAGAACTGAACTAGAACTAGAACTAGAACTGAACTAGAACTGAACTAGAACTGAACTAGAACTAGAACTGAACTAGAACTGAACTAGAACTGAACTAGAACTGAACTAGAACTGAACTAGAACTGAACTAGAACTGAACTAGAACTGAACTAGAACTGAACTAGAACTGAACTAGAACTGAACTAGAACTGAACTAGAACTGAACTAGAACTGAACTAGAACTGAACTAGAACTGAACTAGACTGAACTGAACCTAGAACGAACTAGAACTGAACTAGAAGAACTAGAACTAGAACTAAGAACTGACTTAGAACTAGAACTGGAACTTAAAACTGACTAGAACGACTAGAAAACGAACTAAACTGAACTAGAACTGACTAGAACTGAACTGAACTAGAACGCAACTGACTAAACTGAACTAGAAGAACTGAACTGAACTAGAACTGAACTAGAACTAACTAGACTGAACTAGAAAACTAGAACTAAACTAGAACTGAACTAGAACTGTACATGAACTGAACTAGAACCTGAACTAGAACTGGACTAGAAATGAAAACTTGAACTGGAACTAGTAACTGAACAAGAATGAAACTAGAACTGAATAGAACTGAACTAGAACTGAAAACGAGAACTGAAACTGGAACTGAACAAGTCATATTATTCAAATTCATTACTAAATGCTTGTCAAATTACGGTAAGTCCTCCATCTTGTTTCTCCACCCATACAAACATTAGTCTCAAACAATGTTTAAAGTAATTTGTTGCTAACTACAAAGTTATTCCCTTTGGGATCTTGTTGTTATTTAATGTCAAATCATTTTTAAATGTTATTTTATAAATTCCATTAGAAAATAGTTTTTTGACACTTAAGCATATGATTGACATGACATTAATTGTGCTCGAGTGTGTAGTGGAAATTGGTAAGTATAATGTAAACAATATATAGATAATATAGTTTATATAAGATTGTATATATATATAGCTGAAATATATACTAAAAGAAAAAAAAAATAATAAACATTCATGTTAGTAGTCTTGATAGAGGTAAAGAAAAGGTTGTTAAGACATTAAGAAATTGTTCATGCTTTAAGGTTACAAATTTAAAAAGGAATAAATTTATAATAAATTCTTAATAAGATCAATTATGAAATGATCAATTAGAAATGATATTAAAATAACTTTCAAATACACATTTAATTAACTTTATCGAAAGTTTTTATGGTAAAAACCGTCTACATAGAGCACAGAACTGTTTCTATTTGAAGAATCCTCAATAAGTTTAATTGATCTATAAATTTACTCCTTTAAATTTATGTTTCTTTAAATTGTTTATAAATTTAGTGTAATTTAAAATTATTTAATTGTAATGTTAGTAGTTAATATTATTTTTATAAAAAATAATAAATTTTCATAACTAGATTCGAAAATCTTTAAAACATTCCCGACGTTAACAAGATCTAGTTTTTCAAAAAAAAAAAAAAAAAAAAAAAAAAAAAAACATACAACATGCACTCGTTTTTATACGTTGGTTATGGGAAACATTTTCTCTTGTTAACTCAAACAAAAGTGTGTTAACTTAAGAAAAAATGCCCAACCTTTGAGGGAAGAATAAAATAAATTGTCTAAAATTCGTTTACCAGGTTGTATAAATAGTTGGCGGTGCCCACCTTCCACCAATACAATTATTGGTGTAATTTCTAAATAAGGCACTCATCGATTCTGTGCCTGTTATTTGACCAATTGTTGAGGGATTACGACGCATTACTTCGATAGCATCACGCATGGTTAATTTCGAATAGGTTTCAATAATTTTCGGTTCGGCACCCTGGAAATGAAAAAAAAATATATTAATGTTAGGAGAACTTTAAAAAAGAAACCTAAACTAGTTTAATTAACTCAATTAATCTTAAGTATAAATCCCACCCTTTTTCTTAAACTTGAATTTGAATTTTGAGTTTTGTTTTTATATTTTATTTATAGACCTTCTTCATCCTCATCTTCTTCTGGATTTCTTTGTCTTAATCTGTAACTGAAATTATCTTGAGATAATTGTCTATGTTCTCTACGCCTCTCGGCAGCCGCTTGCCGTTCTCTTTGCTTAATTTTTTCGGTATATTGCTGCATAGGTATATGATCCAATAGGAATGAATCTTTTTCAAGCTGAAGAAGGAAGGAGGATGATGAAAAAATTATCCAGTGACCATTTCGAAACCCCCACATCAAACTACTTTTATGGAAAGTCCAGACTATAGACCGGATCGTAGACAAGACTATACTAGTCTATAAACTAGACTATAGACTAGACTATAGACTAGACTATAGACTACACTATAGACTAGACTATAGACTAGACTATAGACTAGGCTATAGACTAGACTATAGACTAGACTATAGACAAGGCTACTGACTAGACTATAGACAAGGCTACTGACTAGACTATAGAATAGACTATAGAATAAACTATAGACTAGACTATAGACTAGACTATAGACTAGACTATAGACTAGACTATAGACTAGACAATAGACTAGACTATAGACTAGACTATAGACTAGACTATAGACTAGACTATAGACTAGACTATAGACTAGACTATAGACTAGACTATAGACTAGACTATAGACTAGACTATAGACTAGACTATAGACTAGACTATAGACTAGACTATAGACTAGACTATAGACTAGACTATAGACTACACTATAGACTATAGACTAGACTATAGACTAGACTAGACTATAGATTAGACTATAGACTAGACTATAGACTAGACTATAGACTAGACTAGACTAGACTAGACTAGACTAGACTAGACTAGACTAGACTAGACTAGACTAGACTAGACTAGACTAGACTAGACTAGACTAGACTAGACTAGACTAGACTAGACTAGACTAGACTAGACTAGACTAGACTAGACTAGACTATAGACTAGACTAGACTAGACTAGACTAGACTAGACTAGACTAGACTAGACTAGACTAGACTAGACTAGACTAGACTAGACTAGACTAGACTAGACTAGACTAACTAGACTAGACTAGACTAGACTAGACTATAGACTAGACTATAGACTAGACTATAGACTAGACTATAGACTAGACTATAGACTAGACTATAGACTAGACTATAGACTAGACTATAGACTAGACTATAGACTAGACTATAGACTAGACTATAGACTAGACTATAGACTAGACTATAGACTAGACTATAGACTAGACTATAGACTAGACTATAGACTAGACTATAGACTAAACTATAGACTAGACTATAGACTAGACTATAGACTAGACTATAGACTAGACAATAGACTAGACTATAGACTAGACTATAGACTAGACTATAGACTAGACTATAGACTAGACTATAGACTAGACTATAGACTAGACTATAGACTACACTATAGACTAGACTATAGAGTAGACTATAGACTAGACTATAGACTAGCCTATAGACTAGACTATAGACTAGACTATAGACTAGCCTATAGACTAGACTATAGACTAGACTATAGACTAGACTATAGACTAGACTATAGACTAGACTATAGACTAGACTATAGACTAGACTATAGACTACACTATAGACTAGACTATAGAGTAGACTATAGACTAGACTATAGACTAGCCTATAGACTAGACTATAGACTAGACTATAGACTAGCCTATAGACTAGACTATAGACTAGACTATAGACTAGACTATAGACTAGACTATAGACTAGACTATAGACTAGACTATAGACTAGACTATAGACTAGACTATAGACTAGACTATAGACTAGACTATAGACTAGACTATAGACTAGACTATAGACTAGACTATAGACTAGACTATAGACTAGACTATAGACTAGACTATACTAGACTATAGACTAGACTATAGACTAGACTATAGACTAGACTATAGACTAGACTATAGACTAGACTATAGACTAGACTATAGACTAGACTATAGACTAGACTATAGACTAGACTATAGACTAGACTATAGACTAGACTATAGACTAGACTATAGACTAGACTATAGACTAGACTATAGACTAGACTATAGACTAGACTATAGACTAGACTATAGACTAGACTATAGACTAGACTATAGACTAGACTATAGACTAGACTATAGACTAGACTATAGACTAGACTATAGACTAGACTATAGACTAGACTATAGACTAGACTATAGACTAGACTATAGACTAGACTATAGACTAGACTATAGACTAGACTATAGACTAGACTATAGACTAGACTATAGACTAGACTATAGACTAGACTATAGACTAGACTATAGACTAGACTATAGACTAGACTATAGACTAGACTATAGACTAGACTATAGACTAGACTATAGACTAGACTACAGAATAGAGTATAGACTAGACTATAGAATATACTATAGACTAGACTATAGGCATGACTATAGAATATATATAGACTAGTCTATAATCCAGACTACAGATCAGATTATAGTCCAGGCTGTAGACTAAACTAAAGTTCACGCTACAGAATAGACTATAGTCTAGAATACAGAATAGACTCTAGTCTAGACTACAGATTATATATAGTAAAGACTATAGAATAGACTATAGTTCAGTCCAGTCGTAGAAGAAAATAATTGACACATAACCTAAACTTGTCCCTTAAATTTTGCAAAAAAAATTCAATTAAAAAACCATTAAAATATTCACTCACCTTAAGATCTCTTATCAACAGAGGACGTATGAAACGATTGTCGAAACGTTTGAATTTATCACGCACATTGTAATTGCCAGTTTTACCAATAATATCCTCAATGCCAGCCATTAAATGATCCATAAACTAAAAGTGTCCCCCCAAAAAAATGTTAATATTCAATTTCAAGGCTTTAAACAAAATCAGTGAACTTACTCTTTCATGTATACGTTCATTCATGGTGGGTTTACGTTTATTCGCACGTTTAACATTTAAAATTTTAACGAGCGGCTTAATGGTGATGCCCTGCAAGAACACGGTAAAGTATATCACAGCAATGGTAGTGGTAACAAACATATTCTTTTGAGGCACAACACGTTCATCGATTAACAGGACGAGGGCAAAGGCAACGGCACCACGTAAACCACCATACGACATAACGAATTGATCGACGCGAGATAGTTTATGTAGACGGAAACGATTTGCTATGGCGGATAGGACAATGACACCTAGAAAAAATTAATTGAAGATACGAATTTAGTAACACATTCCCTTTAAAAATATAAAATCTTATATAAATAGATTTACACTTACCTATAACTCTAAAGAATGAACAGAACAATATGGTTAATAGAACAAACCAGGTATTCCATACATGATTATTATTAACGGTGGCTACACCCAAGAACATAAATATAACTGTTTCCGAGGAACTTGATATCATTTTTAATGCATATTTGACGGTTGTATGCGATTTTTGTGATATATTCGATTCGACATAATTTTTCATGGTAATACCGCAGAACGTAATACTGAAAGGAGAAGACCGGAAGTTAAATTTTTAGAGATCATTATATTAAACGCCATATTTCATTAACTGAACTACAACTGAACTAGAACTGAACTAGAGCAGAACTAGAACAGAACTAGAACAGAACTAGAACAGAACTAGAACAGAACTAGAACAGAACTAGAACAGAACTAGAACAGAATTAGAACAGAACTAGAACAGAACTAGAACAGAACTAGAACAGAACTAGAACAGAACTAGAACAGAACTAGAACAGAACTAGAACAGAACTAGAACAGAACTAGACAGAACTAGAACAGAACTAGAACAGAACTAGAACAGAACTAGAACAGAACTAGAACAGACTAGAACAGAACTAGAACAGAACTAAACAGAACTAGAACACTAGAACTAGAACTGAACTAGAACTGAACTAGAACATGAAGCTAGAACAGAAGTAGAACAGAACTAGAAAGAACTAGAACAGATAGAACAGAACTAGAACAGAAACTAGAACAGAACTAGAACAGAACTAGAACAGAAGCTAGAACAGAACTAGAACAGAACTAGAACAGAACTAGAACAGAACTAGAACAGAACTAGAACAGAACTAGAACAGAACTAGAACAGAACTAGAACAGAACTAGAACAGAACTAGAACAGAACTTTAGAACCTAGAAAGAACTAGAACAGAACTAGAACAGAACTAGAACAGAACTAGAACAGAACTAGAACAGAACTAGAACAAACTAGAAACACAGAACAGAACTAGAACAGAACTAGAACAGAACTAGAACAGAACTAGAACAGAACTAGAAAGAACAGAACTAGAACAGAACTAGAACAGACTAGAACAGAACTAGAACAGAACTAGAACAGAACTAGAACAGAACTAGAACAGAACTAGAACAGAACTAGAACAGAACTAGAACAGAACTAGAACAGAACTAGAACAGAACTAGAACAGAACTAGAACAGAACTAGAACAGAACTAGAACAGAACTAGAACAGAACTAGAACAGAACTAGAACAGAACTAGAACAGAACTAGAACAGAACTAGAACAGAACTAGAACAGAACTAGAACAGAACTAGAACAGAACTAGAACAGAACTAGAACAGAACTAGAACAGAACTAGAACAGAACTAGAACATTTTTATTTCCCTTATTATTGTCAAAATAAAAGGAAACAGTTAGACATTTAAATACTTACGCTAAAATACCACTCATATGGAATATTTCAGCATTTAAATATGCTAAATATGCCATGACAAAGATAAAGATGGGTTCTATAACACGCACGTGATCGGTGAAACGTGTTACCAAACCAGTCAGGAAGCCCCAAATGATACCTGTAATCAAACACACAAAAAAGGAACAATATGAAAAAAAAAATGACGCAAATTAAACGACTAGACAAACGTGATAATAATAACATTAAATATAGTCTGGTTTGTGGTTAGAAAACAGACACATGTATTATCATCATCGTCATCATCACCATCATTATATTATCTAAACATCAGTTAGATGTTTTTGTTAAATCAGAAACACAAGACACACTTACCAATAACAGTACCGCCAATTGCCACCACAAAGAATGAACCAACACCATTGACAACATCTTGAGCTATAATTTCCGATATACCGATGTGATTATAAACTTCCATCATATGATACATGACGACCTTTAAATTAAAGTAAATAAAGGGAGTAATAAGCATAAAAGGAATTATTAAATAAATTTAATAAAAAATATTAAATCCCCCCACCTTAAAGTCATATTTTTGTTTAATAATATTCAAATATTTTATAAAATCCCCCAATAATATCTTCATAAACATTCAAATACCATAACAAAAGTTTAAATCAAAAGTATTAACTAAAGTCTGCCAACAAAATCTATAAAAGTTATTTAATGGATTTTTAATACAATTTCCAATAAAAAGAAATATTATTTTTTTAATTTAAATGTATTAAAGTCTGTCAGTGCAAGCAGCAAATACTTTATAAAAATAAGATATTAATGTCTTTTAAACAAAAAAAAAAAAAAAAAACACCAATAACAAGTAAATAAAATATTAAGAATTTTTCATATTGAAATATAAAAAAATGTTAATATCAGCAAAAAAAAACCTTGAAATATTTCATTTTACCAAATAAAAAAAAAAAAAACATAAAATTGTACTAAACAGGACTTAAGAAGGTGCATGATTTTAACCTCACAACCCCATTAATATGATCAACAAAAAAATCAAATGTGAAAAGTTACAGCAAAAAAATAAACATTAAATAAAATGGTAATAAGGAAAAAATAACACACATAAATGTCAATATGAAATATGTTTTAAGAAATCATCTTTCGGATTATACAATAAAAAGCTCTAAAAGAAACAGTTAAGTTAAAAAAATTAGTTTAACGTCACATCTTTACAGAAGTCCTTTGATTTGAAAACAGTTAAACGAATTTTGCATATAATTTGTAACATTTCTAATAATTTTCTTTATTTAACAAAATTTTATACTTTTTATAATTTTATATGCCTATATTTTTGCTCACAGCTGCAATGTCTGTTCAAGTAAGGTAAAAGTTGAAGCATTTATGCATGTGTTTTTATCCATTTTCCTAAAGATCAATCAACATTCTTTTCTAAATAAAAATACACATACACTGCATTCTTCTAGACTTGTAATTTAAATATCTTTCAGTTCTTAAATGTCAAGAAGAGGTTATAACAGCAGTGTAGTACAGTGTGCTACGAAACATAACTTGGTTTCGGTAAATTATTTGTCCACTTTAACTAACTAACTAACTAACTAACTAACTAACTAACCAACTAACTAACTAACTAACTAACTAACTAACTAACTAACTAACTAACTAACTAACTAACTAACTAACTAACTAACTAACTAACTAACTAACTAACTAACTACTAACTAACTAACTAACTAACTAACTAACTAACTAACTAACTAACTAACTAACTAACTAACTTACTAACTAACTAACTAACTAACTACTAACTAACTAACTAACTAACTAACTAACTACTAACTAACTAACTAACTAACTAACTAACTAACTAACTAACTAACTAACTAACTAACTAACTAACTAACTAACTAACTAACTAACTAACTAACTAACTAACTAACTAACTAACTACTAACTAACTAACTAACTAACTAACTAACTAACTAACTAACTACTAACTAACTAACTAACTAACTAACTAACTAACTAACTAACTAACTAACTAACTAACTAACTAACTAACTAACTAACTAACTAACTAACTAACTAACTAACTAACTAACTAACTAACTAACTAACTAACTAACTAACTACTAACTAACTAACTAACTAACTAACTAACTACTAACTAACTAACTAACTAACTAACTAACTAACTAACTAACTAACTACTAACTAACTAACTAACTAACTAACTAACTAACTAACTAACTAACTAACTAACTAACTAACTAACTAACTAACTAACTAACTAACTAACTAACTAACTACTAACTAACTAACTAACTAACTAACTAACTAACTAACTAACTAACTAACTAACTAACTAACTAACTAACTAACTAACTAACTAACTAACTAACTAACTAACTAACTAACTAACTAACTAACTAACTAACTAACTAACTAACTAACTAACTAACTAACTAACTAACTAACTAACTACTAACTAACTAACTAACTAACTAACTAACTAACTAACTAACTAACTAACTACTAACTAACTAACTAACTAACTAACTAACTAACTAACTAACTAACTAACTACTAACTACTAACTAACTAACTACTAACTACTAACTAACTACTAACTAACTAACTAACTACTAACTAACTAACTAACTAACTAACTAACTAACTAACTAACTAACTAACTAACTAACTAACTAACTAACTAACTCACTAACTAACTAACTAACTAACCTAACTAACTAACTAACTAACTACTAACTAACTAACTAACTAACTAACCTACTACTAACTAACTAACTAACTAACTAACTACTAACTAACTAACTAACTAACTACTAACTAACTAACTAACTAACTAACTAACTAACTAACTAACTAACTAACTACTAATTTAAAGTTACTTAAAGCTTAAAGCTATTTAAATTTATAAAAAGCTTAAATCTATTCAAGGCTCTTCAAAGCAATTGAAAGCTTAAAACAGTATATAAAGCTACTAGCTATATTTAAGCTATTAAAAGTTTAAAGATATTAAAAGCTAAAAACTATTAAAATCTTAAAGCTAATCAAAGCTTAAAGTTATAAAAAGTTTAATGGTATTGAAAGCTTAAAGCTATTAAAAGCTTAAAGCTATTCAAAGCTTAAAGCTATTAAAATCTATTAAAAGCTTAGGCTGATGTCAGAGTGCTATTAAAAGCTTAGGCTGATGTCAGAGTGGGAGCTTCAAGCGATGCGAAGCTTTGCGCTACAAACTTTTGCTTGTGTTTCCTCGCATCAAGCTTCGCTTTCACTCTGACATGACACATAGGAAAACACAAGGAATGGTTTGTAGCGCAAAGCTTCGCATTGCTTGTAGCGCCCACCCGGACATCAGCCTAAGCTTTTAATAGATGTGAATAGCTTTAAGCTTTGAATAGCTTTAAGCTTTGAATAGCTTTAAGCTTTCAACACCTTTAAACTTTTTATAACTTTAAGCTTTGATTAGCTTTAAGATTTTAATAGTTTTCAGCTTTTAATATCTTTAAACTTTTAATAGCTTAAATATAGCTACTAGCTTTATATACTGTTTTAAGCTTTCAATAGCTTTGAATAGCCTTGAATAGCTTTAAGCTTTTTATAACTTTAAATAGCTTTAAGTTTTAATAAACTTTAAATTATGAATAGATTTAAGCCTTCAGCAACTTTAAGCTTTGACTAAAATTATGAATTAAAAGGCTTTAAGCTTTGTATGTCTTTAAGCTTTGAATAGCTTTAAGTTAGTTTTTAAAAGATTTTTTAATGGAATAACTTTAAACTATTTTGTTATTGAATACCTTTTAAAGTATTTTTTAATAGCTTTAAACAATTTTTTTTAATAGCTTTAACAAAGAAACTGCAAAAAACCGTTCGTTTCAAGTACATATAGGCTTTTCATTAAGGGCGGGAGGGATGATTAAAATATTTTCTTTTGATTTAGTACGTTTATTACTTTGAAACTTAAGCCTAATCACTCATAACTTTTATTGGTTTAATTCAAAATAAACCTAAGTTTTTTGAAAAATCTTTACTTAAATAAACTTTAACTAAATTTCTTTTGAACTTTACTGTCACACAACAAATATTCGAAAGAAATTTCTTCAAAGGTTAACATGATGATGATGATGATACTCATACTTTTCTAATCAACAACGAGAATATCAAGAAATGAAAAATTCTAACATACAATTGAACTAAAGATGACATAGATTGATAGGTCATGATTTGTTTTATTTTTTTCATTTTTTTGTTCATCCTCCAATTAAAATAAAACAAAAGATTTAAACTCATTAATTTTTTTTTTCCTTTTTTTTAAGACTTACCGTAACAGCATCATTAAGTAATGATTCACCAAAGACGACAATATACAAAATTTCATTGACATGAATTTCTTCAAAGACAGCCAACACAGCCACAGGATCCACAGCCGATATAAGAGAGGCAAAGATAAATGTATCCAATAATTTAGGAGTTTCAGCATCACTACCATAAATACCACTCAGACCACAGGCATACAATGAACCGCCTATTTTCGAGAAAGAAAAGGAGAAGAAAGATAACAATTAAATAATGTCATTGGAAGGTTTTTTTTTCTCGAAATATTGGAAATTAAAATTAGTTACAAAAACAAGAAACAAAACGACGTACGAGACAAACTGCGTCATAGTATTAAACATTGTAGGGTTTCCTTTATTAAACATGTCACATGTTTATAATAAAAAAAAAACGTAAGCAAATAGAAATAGAAAAACATCTAAATCTATGTATTATATCCTTGTGGCATTTAAATGGGACTGCTTACACATACATACATATGTATGTACATTGTACATCAGTAGAAACCAACACTAAGTATTATTTATATAGGGGCAATTAAATATGTACATATATCGATGATTTTCTTGAAAAAAAAAAAAAAAAACACAAATTTAAAACTCTAACACGAGCAACAACTACAATAGATTCATACCCTATTTTCCAGCTTTTATAAAATTTCGTTTAAGAATCCTTTATTCTAAAACTCACGACTGTTTGAACGTTATCACCATATGTCCTAACAACAACGTCAGGACCGCACAATTTGTAAATAGAAAAATAATATTCAATAAAATTTGCGCTACTCATGTTACCAACAACCATTAATTCTACCATCATCATTACATTGTCTTGTTGTGCAACATAAATAAATAAATTTATCACATTAATATTTTTTATTTATTTATTTACAATGACGCATTCCTTTATACAATTACATATTTATATAATAGTTTTTTTCTTTTTATTGAAAAATATTTAGCATCAGTATTTGTTAGATGACAGCTGGAGACAACTTTATTTTGAAAAGACAAATTTTAAAGGACTTGTTATGCAGGATATTTATGACCCAGCAAACAACTCAGTTAGACAAATACTGAGCTGAACAGAACTAGAACTGAACTAGAACTGAACTAGAACTGAACCAAACTAGAACTGAACTAGAACTGAACTAGAACTGAACTAGAACTGAACTAGAACTGAACTAGAACTAGAACTGAACTAGAACTGAACTAGAACTGAACTAGAACTGAACTAGAACTGAACTAGAACTGAACTAGAACTGAACTAGAACTGAACTAGAACTGAACTAGAACTGAACTAGAACTGAACTAGAACTGAACTAGAACTGAACTAGAACTGAACTAGAACTGAACTAGAACTGAACTAGAACTGAACTAGAACTGAACTAGAACTGAACTAGAAACTGAACTAGAACTGAACTAGAACTGAACTAGAACTAGAACTGAACTAGAAGTGAACTAGAACTAGAACTGAACTAGAACTGAACTAGAACTGAACTAGAACTGAACTGAACTAGAACTGAACTAGAACTGAACTAGAACTGAACTAGAACTGAACTAGAACTGAACTAGAACTGAACTAGAACTGAACTAGAACTGAACTAGAACTGAACTAGAACTGAACTGAACTACTGAACTAGAACTGAACTAAACTGAACTAGAACTGAACTAGAACTGAACTAGAACTGAACTAGAACTGAACTAGAACTGAACTAGAACTGAACTAGAACTGAACTAGAACTGAACTAGAACTGAACTAGAACTGAACTAGAACTGAACTAGAACTGAACTAGACTGACTAGACTGAACTAGAACTGAACTAGAACTCTAGAACTAGAACTAACTAGAACTGAACTAGAACTGAACTAGAACTGAACAGAACTGAACTAGAACTGAACTAGAACTGAACTAGAACTGAACTAGAACTGAACTAGAACTGACTAGAACTGAACTAGACTGACTAGAGAACTGATCTAGAACTAAACTAGAACTGAACTAGAGCTAAACTAGAACAAAACTATGACATAACTAGTTCTGTTCCATCTCTGTTTCTCGTACACTTTTGACACGAACTTTTTAATCATTGACACAAATTTTCCCTATGACAAATAATACTCACATCGATTAATTAGCCATGAAAACAAATAAACATTTTTTGTTTTAACATTTAGAGTTTTAATAACAACCAAGCGATAAGGCGCGTAATATTAAAATCAATATTTAAAGAAGGAAAAAAATAGATATTGAAACCCAGGTAGTAACAGTTTATATAAACACTCCCACTTCCTTCCTTAAAAGGGTATGAATGTAAAAGTAATTTCTATTTTATTTGAAAGTCGGTCATTTGCATTGTATCCTCTAAATACTTTTTCCGATTTCCTTCAAGAATAAAACGTAATTTATAGAATAGTTTAAGGAAAAATTAATGGAAAAAAGTTAATGTTATTAACAGCTAAAAAGTATGTCGAATACATAAGCTCAGTAAGAAATAATTGAAGCATACGCAGCACAAATTGACAGTAACTCTCGATAGCAATACAATCATTCAAGTGTTAATATTTTCCCTTTAGTTTTTATATTTGAAAAATCACCCATACCTTAGTCAGTCGCGTGTATCTAATGAAATAATTTAATATTTAAATATGCATTTTTATAATTTGATTGTTGCAACTATTTGATTTATTATTGTTGTTATTTTATTATTAATTTTGTCATCTATTTAAATGAGTCCACAGAGTATATAGTTTTTATTATTTATTTAAATAATTTCATTCACAATCTATTTGTTCATTGAACTACTTTCTAAATATTTCATATTTAAAATAATAAAAAATATTATTAAATATTTTTTTTAAATTGTTAAACTGTGGACTATATGGCTGGCAGTTGTCATAATTTATAAACAAAAAAAATTATAGAAAAAACAATTCAGGTGTGAGATTTACTTTTTTAGAATTCTTTCAATAGAATCAATGACAAAATGTATTCAACAGCTCGTTTAATAATATCCGATGAAATGTTTATTAAATGGTGAATAAAAAAGAAAAAATATATAGTTTTTTTCATTACTTATTAAAATATAATAACAGCAGTCAACTTAAGCACTGCTAAAGTGCTTTTCATATGATGTTTGAAATAATTGAAAGAGAACCCATTGAAATTGACGTTGACGTTATAGAATAGATTTTATTAACACTTACGTTTAATCTAATAATACAAATATAATTGTTAGAAATCTATAATCAATTATTATGATTTTGAAACTAAAAATATTATTTGAAATATTATATACTAAAGTATGTATAGTATGTCAAAAGATTGTAATCATAATATCTACAAATATATACTGATTTTTGACTGGTACTTGACTAAATGACATATTTACGTCAGAGAGTTACGCACTATATACTTGTTATTGGTTAAAATGGTTATTTTTAAAAACAAACTACAATAATATTTGAACATTTGTTGATTTGAGTGAAAGGTGTGGTATCTAAGACACATTAAGTCACGTTTAGATTAATCAAATATATGAAGATTGTAAACATAATTTTCTGCAAATCTGTTTAAAATTTTACATTAAGTCAGTTCTCGTTCAGTTTTAGTTCGGTTCTAGTTCGGTTCTAGTCCGAGTTCAGTTCTAGTTCAGTTCTAGTTCAGTTCTAGTTCAGTTCTAGGTTCAGTTCTAGTTCAGTTCTAGTTCAGTTCTAGTTCAGTTCTAGTTCATTTCTAGTTCAGTTCTAGTTCAGTTCTAGTTCAGTTCTAGTTCAGTTCTAGTTCAGTTTCTAGTTCAGTTCTAGTTCAGTTTCTAGTTCAGTTCTAGTTCAGATTCTAGTTCAGTTCTAGTTGCATTTCTAGTTCAGTTCTAGTTCAGTTCTAGTTCAGTTCTAGTTTCAGTTCTAGTTCAGTTCTAGTTCAGTCTAGTTCAGTTCTAGTTCAGTTCTAGTTCAGTTCTAGTTCAGTTCTAGTTCAGTTCTAGTTCTAGTTCAGTTCTAGTTCAGTTCTAGTTCTGTTCTAGTTCCTGTTCTAGTTCTTTCTAGTTCTAGTCCAGTTCGTTCATAGTTCTGTTCTAGTTCTGTTCTAGTTCTGTTCTAGTTCTGTTCTAGTTCTGTTCTAGTTCTGTTCTAGTTCTGTCTAGTTTAGTTCTGTTCGTCATAGTTCTGTTCTAGTTCTGTTCTAGTTCTGTTCTAGTTCTGTTCTAGTTCTAGTTCTATTCTAGTTCTGTTCTGTCCTAGTTCTGTTCTAGTTCTGTTCTAGTTCTGTTCTAGTTCTGTTCTAGTTCTGTTCTAGTTCTGTTCTAGTTCTGTTCTAGTTCTGTTCTAGTTCTGTTCTAGTTCTGTTCTAGTTCTGTTCTAGTTCTGTTGTAGTTCTGTTCTAGTTCTGTTCTAGTTCTGTTCTAGTTCTGTTCTAGTTCTAGTTCTGTTCTAGTTCTGTTCTAGTTCTGTTCTAGTTCTGTTCTAGTTCTGTTCTAGTTCTATTCTAGTTCTGTTCTAGTTCTGTTCTAGTTCTGTTCTAGTTCTGACTAGTTCTGTTCTAGTTCTGTTCTAGTTCTGTTCTAGTTCTGTTCTAGTTCTGTTCTAGTTCTGTTCTAGTTCTGTTCTAGTTCTGTTCTAGTTCTGTTCTAGTTCTGTTCTAGTTCTGTTCGAGTTCTGTTCTAGTTCTGTTCTAGTTCTGTTCTAGTTCTGTTTCTAGTTCTGTTCTAGTTCTGTCTGTTCTGGTTCTGTTCTAGTTCTGTTCTAATTCTAGTTCTGTTCTAGTTCTGTTCTAGTTCTGTTCTAGTTCTGTTCTAGTTCTGTTCTAGTTCTGTTCTAGTTCTGTTCTAGTTCTGTTCTAGTTCTGTTCTAGTTCTGTTCTAGTTCTGTTCTAGTTCTGTTCTAGTTCTGTTCTAGTTCTGTTCTGGTTCTGTTCTAGTTCTGTTCTAGTTCTGTTCTAGTTCTGTTCTAGTTCTGTTCTAGTTCTGTTCTAGTTCTGTTCTAGTTCTGTTCTAGTTCTGTTCTAGTTCTGTTCTAGTTCTGTTCTAGTTCTGTTCTAGTTCTGTTCTAGTTCTGTTCTAGTTCTGTTCTAGTTCTGTTCTAGTTCTGTTCTAGTTCTGTTCTAGTTCTGTTCTAGTTCTGTTCTAGTTCTGTTCTAGTTCTGTTCTAGTTCTGTTCTAGTTCTGTTCTAGTTCTGTTCTAGTTCTGTTCTAGTTCTGTTCTAGTTTGTTCTAGTTCTGTTCTAGTTCTGTTCTAGTTCTGTTCTAGTTCAGTTCTAATTCAGTTCTAGTTCTGTTCTAGTTCTGTTCTAGTTCTGTTCTAGTTCTGTTCTAGTTCTGTTCTAGTTCTGTTCTAGTTCAGTTCTAGTTCTGTTCTAGTTCTGTTCTAGTTCTGTTCTAGTTCTGTTCTAGTTCTGTTCTAGTTCTGTTCTAGTTCTGTTCTAGTTCTATTTAAAGTAAGAAACATTTAGTAACTTCTTACAATATTTATATTATTATTCCAATTAAAATTCTCACTTTGATAAAGCTAATTGAAAGTTAAATTTGTTTGCACAAATAATTAGAATTTAAATAAATTATACAATTTAAATGCATCTTTGATTTAATAACAGTAATTAAACAAATTTGAAATTTTTATTTTTCAAACAACAGATGTGTATTTTTTTTCTAAACTTTATTTTAAACAATAATAAAAATTCAATATCGACTACGATTATTAACTAAAGTGAATGTGCATTTAAGATATCTAACCTGCAGTGCATGATGATTAAAACAAATTATAGTGGAAGTGCTAATCAAATTGTATATATTTTTAACAAAGATTCGTAATAGTTAAAAGAGTTAGAAATAGAAAAAAAATATATATATACTGAGAAAATCTGTTAAATTTCTAACATAATTAACACTGCGGCTTTAGGTGTAAATTGTTTAGTTATTAAGAAAAAAACGACAAGAAATATTAGGGATATTAAAGAGATATTAAAGGGAAAATATCTTAAAGAATACTTGATATTGCCGAATATTTAGTTAACAATCACTATACTCCTTGCACTGACTGAATCATGTTTAAATTTCAAAAACTAGTTGTTCAATGCGTATGAGTAATATCTGTTAATGAATGAAACAATCAAAACATGACTGTCTGCCATTCACAATAAAAAACATGTTTATAAAAACTACATTAACATTATCACTCATACGCTCTCATACACATATGTAAGTGCAGTCAGTCACTCTCTTTGGAATACAACCACATTTTAATGATTTTAACTGTTTACTCACGCACATTCTAACTACTTAAACAAGATAGTAAAAATATAATAATATTATTTGTAATAGGTCAGTCATGTTTGTTTGTTTACAAGCTTAAATTAATCACTTTTGTTTTTTTTCTCATTCAAATGATTAACATAAAACACATTAGAATAGATTTTATTAAACAACGGTCATCAATCAATTGTATTACACACGCATACACATACGTCATTATTAACAAGTCGATATAATTGAGAGATTTTAATTCGATTATAGTTGTATGTGCATGCACACTGCACGAAAAACCAAGCATACTAAATTTTAATTCTCAAGAGAGCACCTCCTTATGACAGTGAAGTTGCCCTCCAGGACGGAGGTTGTGTGTTCAATTCCCAGCAGAAACTGTGATACTAAGTGTGAACTGGACAGTGGGCTATGTGTATTTCTCCGGATATCACTAACTAAACAACTATTCTATCTATCTATCTATCTATCTATCTATCTATCTATCTATCTATCTATCTATCTATCTATCTATCTATCTATCTATCTATCTATCTATCTATCTATCTATCTATCTATCTATCTATCTATCTATCTATCTATCTATCTATCTATCTATCTATCTATCTATCTATCTATCTATCTATCTATCTATCTATCTATCTATCTATCTATCTATCTATCTATCTATCTATCTATCTATCTATCTATCTATCTATCTATCTATCTATCTATCTATCTATCTATCTACTATCTATCTATCTATCTATCTATCTATCTATCTATCTATCTATCTATCTATCTATCTATCTATCTATCTATCTATCTATCTATCTATCTATCTATCTATCTATCTATCTATCTAGCTATCTATCTATCTATCTATCTATCTATCTATCTATCTATCTATCTATCTATCTATCTATCTATCTATCTATCTATCTATCTATCTATCTATCTATCTATCTATCTATCTATCTATCTATCTATCTATCTATCTATCTATCTATCTATCTATCTATCTATCTATCTATCTATCTATCTATCTATCTATCTATCTATCTATCTATCTATCTATCTATCTATCTATCTATCTATCTATCTATCTATCTATCTATCTATCTATCTATCTATCTATATATCTATTCTATCGATCGAACAGAGTTTTTGGTGAAAAACTGAGTTTTTGGTGAAAACCCGATTTTTTGGTGAAAAACTGATTTTTTGGTGAAAAAATTATTTTTGGTGAAAAACTGAGTTTTTGGCGAAAAACTGAGTTTTTGGTGAAAAGCTGAGTTTTTTGTGAAAAACTGAGTTTTTGGTGAAAAACAACTAAATCAGCTTTTAGTATTAAGTTATTTTAGTTTTAAAAACCATTTGTCATTTTATATTCCTCGATTTTTTCGCTCAGTGCATTAGCATTGCTGCTTTAATTAATGTAGATGTTACGTCACAAATAAATTTGTTTGTAAAATGAGCATTAACAAATTACTCGACAATCGAATTATTAAATTCAGTGTTGCGTTCTAATAACTGATTTAATCACTTTACACTCACATACACCCAAGACTTGTTAGAAATCAAAGTAAATATCTTTAGCATTCAAATTTATTTGTATTTATTGAATGTATATTAATAATGTTGAAATATATCTATCTTGAAAATCTCTAGGGGTATTCAGCAGTATTGCCTCAAAGTCATTTAAAAGAAGGAAACAGTAATTACTTTGACATTATGTGTAGAAAAATGGGAAACAAGAACATTTTATCCTTAATTATCTAAACTTTAGATTGTAAGTTATAGAGTACTTCATTGGAAGTAATTTGGCTTAAATCAATGTTAAAACTTTAATTAAAGTCCTGTATAACTTTCTGCAAAATTTTAGAATGAACTGTTAAATATGTTGTTCTTGACCTTTGACCTCTTCATATAATATTAATTATTTTATAGCACTATAAACAATAACATCATCAGATTAAGTATTTTGAAACTTAGTCTTATATTTACAAACACTTAATGGCATAAAACCACTAATTAACTTAAGAGGTCAAGGGTCAATATTTACGTTTTAATGTATATTTCTGCAGAAATAATAGTGACGAACTCCAAATTTTACACAGAGATAAAAGAGACTTTAATTATTATTTTAAAAGTGTTCGAGAACAAATAACCTTCTGGGAACAACTTACTTTTTCACTTCTTTGGAAGTAATTTTTGGACGAGAAACAAAAATCTTTATTTAAAAAAAATAAAATATTTTCTACATATAAAATGCTTCATAAATATTACTATTACAAATAAATTGATTTAAATTCATTGAGATTTTTTTTTGTGAGAAAATAAATCCTAACACAAGCCATCGTTTAATAAACAAATATGTTTACAATCAATATCTTTAAATAAATAATTTATTTTACAATTGCAAATAAATGGCAATAATTTAAATAGAAATATTTGCTTTCAGTTTTATCATTGTTTTGTAATCTAAACTGTTATAAATAAAAAACCATTTAATTTAAGATCAAATGTCAAATTAATTTTATAGTTTCCGCAAACAAATACTCATTTGTAGATAAATATGAAGAGAAAATAATAAATTGAAATTGTTTATTAAACAGAGAATTAGACGGAAGATTGTTGTAGAACTGTAAATCAATTAAAAGCTAATATTAACAGCTTAAGTCGGCTGTAAACATTTAAAAATTTATTTGATGTCATCAATATATTTCTTTTAATTTCTTCTTGTTATTTAAAAGAGCTAAATCTCCGATCACATTAAATGTCTATATGTATTATTTATTGGGTGCATAACTTAAAAAATATTAATTTAATTATTATCCAAACTTACCAATTGTTGCAATATTGAAAATTGTACCGACAACAGCCATCAGTAGAATTGTACCCAAATTGTCGAAAAACAAACGATTCGGCATAAAGTAACCCGCGTCCAATATAATCGGTGGCAACATATAGAAGAAGAATGTATTAGGTGTTAGAGGAGAAACCGCGACATCTGTACAGAAGAAGAGCACAACACCAATAACAACACCAACAACAATTAAAAGGCAAGATTCTGGGAATATAAGATGCAATTTTGGTGTCATATGGAAACCTGTTATGGAGAAAAAAGAAAAGGATAATGTTAAAATGGAAATATTTATAATAAACGTTTAGGTTAAATTCCGGAGAAAAATTGTTCGTTCGGCCAATTTCTCCGCTTTCGTAGTAGCTCTAATATCATGTTTAATATCGTGAAACTTTTTTTAATTTTAAGTGTAAGTGTAGAAGTCGTCCAGCACGAAGGTTATAGGTTCAATTACCACCATAAAGAGTTAAAAAAGAGCGGCTAATAGGATCGACAGTTGCCTATGAATACTGCTTCGGATCTGACTAACTAACTAACTAACTAACTAACTAACTAACTAACTAACTAACTAACTACTAACTAACTAACTAACTAACTAACTAACTAACTAACTAACTACTAACTAACTAACTAACTAACTAACTAACTACTAACTAACTAACTAACTAACTAACTAACTAACTAACTAACTAACTAACTAACTAACTAACTAACTAACTAACTAACTACTAACTAACTAACTAACTAACTAACTAACTAACTAACTAACTAACTAACTAACTAACTAACTAACTAACTAACTAACTAACTAACTAACTAACTAACTAACTAACTAACTAACTAACTACTAACTAACTAACTAACTAACTAACTAACTAACTAACTAACTAACTAACTAACTAACTAACTAACTAACTAACTAACTAACTAACTAACTAACTAACTACTAACTAACTAACTAACTAACTAACTAACTAACTACTAACTAACTAACTAACTAACTAACTAACTACTACTAACTAACTAACTAACTAACTAACTAACTAACTAACTAACTAACTAACTAACTAACTACTAACTAACTAACTAACTACTAACTAACTAACTAACTACTAACTAACTAACTAACTAACTAACTAACTAACTAACTAACTAACTAACTACTAACTAACTAACTAACTAACTAACTAACTAACTACTAACTAACTAACTAACTAACTAACTAACTAACTAACTAACTAACTAACTAACTAACTAACTAACTAACTAACTAACTAACTAACTAACTAACTAACTAACTAACTAACTAACTAACTAACTAACTAACTAACTAACTAACTAACTAACTAACTAACTAACTACTAACTAACTAACTAACTAACTAACTAACTAACTAACTAACTAACTAACTACTAACTAACTAACTACTAACTAACTAACTAACTAACTAACTAACTAACTACTAACTAACTACTACTAACTAACTAACTACTAACTAACTAACTAACTAACTAACTAACTAACTAACTAACTAACTAACTAACTAACTAACTACTAACTAACTAACTAACTAACTAACTAACTAACTAACTAACTAACTAACTAACTAACTAACTAACTAACTAACTAACTAACTAACTAACTACTAACTAACTAACTACTACTAACTACTAACTAACTAACTAACTAACTAACTAACTACTAACTAACTAACTAACTAACTAACTAACTAACTAACTAACTAACTAACTAACTAACTAACTAACTAACTAACTAACTAACTAACTAACTACTAACTAACTACTAACTAACTAACTAACTAACTAACTAACTAACTAACTAACTAACTAACTAACTAACTAACTAACTAACTAACTAACTAACTAACTAACTAACTAACTAACTAACTAACTAACTAACTAACTAACTAACTAACTAACTAACTAACTAACTAACTAACTAACTAACTAACTAACTAACTAACTAACTAACTACTAACTAACTAACTAACTAACTAACTAACTAACTAACTAACTAACTAACTACTAACTAACTAACTAACTAACTAACTAACTAACTAACTAACTAACTAACTAACTAACTAACTAACTAACTACTAACTAACTAACTAACTAACTAACTAACTAACTAACTAACTAACTACTAACTAACTAACTAACTAACTAACTACTAACTAACTAACTAACTAACTAACTAACTAACTAACTAACTAACTACTAACTACTAACTAACTAACTAACTACTAACTAACTAACTAACTAACTAACTACTAACTAACTAACTAACTAACTAACTAACTAACTAACTAACTAACTAACTAACTAACTAACTAACTAACTAACTACCTAACTAACTAACTACTAACTAACTAACTACTAACTAACTAACCAACTAACTAACTAACTAACTAACTAACTAACTAACTAACTAACTAACTAACTAACTAACTAACCTAACTAACTAACTAACTAACTAACTACTAACTACTAACTAACTAACTAACTAACTAACTAACTAACTAACTAACTAACTAACTAACTAACTAACTAACTACTACTAACTACTACCTACCTACTAACTAACTACTAACTAACTAACTAACTAACTAACTAACTACTAACTAACCAACTAACTACTACTAACTAACTAACTAACTAACTAACTAACTACTACTAACTAACTAACTAACTAACTACTAACTAACTAACTAACTAACTAACTAACTAACTAACTAACTAACTAACTAACTAACTAACTAACTACTAACTACTAACTAACTACTAACTAACTAACTAACTAACTAACTAACTAACTAACTAACTAACTAACTAACTAACTAACTTACTAACTAACTAACTAACAGTTTTTCATCAAAAACTCAGTTTTTCATCAAAAACTCAATTTTTCATCATAACTCAGTTTTTCATCAAAAACTCAATTGTTCATCAAAACTCAATTGTTCATCAAAAACTCAGTTTTTCATCAAAAACTCAGTTTTTTCATCAAAAACTCAGTTTTTCATCAAAAACTCAATTTTTCATCAAAAACTCAATTTTTCACCAAAAACTCATTTTTCATCAGACTCAGTTTTTCATCAAAAACTCAGTTTTTCATCAAAAACTCAGTTTTTCATCAAAAACTCAGTTTTTCATCAAAAACTCAATTTTTCACCAAAAACTAAATTTTTCACCAAAAACTCAATTTTCACCAAAAACTCAGTTTTTCACCAAAAACTCAGTTTTTCATCATAAACTCAGTTTTTCATCATAAACTCAGTTTTTATCATAAACTCAGTTTTTATCATAAACTCAGTTTTTCATCAAAAACTCAGTTTTTCATCAAAAACTCAGTTTTTCTTCAAAAACTCAGTTTTTCTTCAAAAACTCAGTTTTTCTTCAAAAACACAGTTTTTCTTCAAAAACACAGTTTTTCATCTAAAACCCAGTTTTCATCATAAACTCTGTTTATCATCAAAAACTCAGTTTTTCATCAAAAACACCGTTTTTCATCAAAAACACCGTTTTTCATCAAAAACACCGTTTTTCATCAAAAACACCGTTTTTCATCAAAAACACCGTTTTTCATCAAAACTCAGTTTTTCATCAAAAACTCAGTTTTTAATAAAAATCTCAGTTTTTCACCAAAAACTCAGTTTTTCACCAAAAACTCAGTTTTCCATCAAACTTATTTCGTACCTTTTGTAAATTTTACGTGAAAAGACTTTTATTTGTGGCATCTTATCTCTATAAACTACTTCTTTTTTGGCTTCCTTGGAAGTACCTTTTCTCTATTGTGATATTTTGGAACATTTCAAAGAATTTAATTTGGATTTTTTGTAACAGTAAAGTACCAAATTTCTTAGAGCTTAACTTTATTTAGTTAAGCTAACTTATAACAATTACAAAACTTTCTAAATGACCCTCGTTCTTAGAGTACTTACTATTTTACATTTAATATTATTTATTTGCTTGATGACCTTGTAACTTGAAAAAATAGTTTTTTGTTAACAAAACCTACCATCCATCTCAGACACAAACTCACAAAACAAAGTCAATGAGAAAATTCTATTTAGAAAATTTATGTGTGTGTGCAAATTTGTTAGTTAGAAGTGTAAAAATGAGAGCCAGGGCAGGTAAATTAAGAGTTTACCTGCTATTACATGGCTGTAAAGAAACTTTTAAAAGGAAATTGTTCTAAACACGCACTAATGATGAAATATTGATCCATTGTGATAACCTAGTAAGTGTAAGAGATCATAATGAAGTGCGAACAACCAGCCGAACCGCCAACAGAGTCAAATATTCTGTTTTTGGTGGGACCAAAAAGGTCCCTAAATTTGTACTAAGTACTAAAACAGTTGAAAAAAACGTCCTCTAAAGGGATAAACGTTTAGGGAAACCACAATTAATAAAAAGTTTTATATTTTTAAAAGAAACCATTTTCCTTTTTGTTAAAATTTCTCTAACACATGCAATGTAATTAGTACCATAAAATGGTACTAAAATTACCATAACTGTTGGGTGTTGGGTACTGTGAGTTGTGTTTGTATTTGTGCAGCAAATTTAGTATTTGTAACTAAATGTTTAAGTACTAAGTATTTGTAAAATTTACGACGTCATGTTCTTTTCGTTAGTTTTTTTTTAGTAATTGTTAAAGTTTACTCGAAATTACTACAATTCAAGGACCAATTCAGAAGTAAAAGCGAAAAACACATTCACACTAAAATATCTAAATGTCATGAGAATAAAATGAAAAAGTTAAAAAAAACTATAGGTCAAGCTCGACTCTATAAAACCCTACAGCAGCTAGTAATATATGTATAGATTAAGGAAAATGATCAGAATTTGGGCCGCTTTAAAATCGATTCTATATTTATACATTTATAATATTTAAGCCAATCCATCTAATTCTAAAAATCTTGGAAAAGGTCCAAATTTGGAATCTGAATCCTATAATGACCCGATTCTCATTACAGAAGTAAATTTTTTTACAAGTCATGATATTATTACGAGATTCTCAATCGTAGTTATTTGTTAATTCCTCAAACATCAAACCATCTTCACCCTACTTTTACAACCTTTAAAATTGTATCCAAAATATTCTCTTTTATTACTCCGCCTTTTTGGTCTTTTGTCCTTCACATTATATGTTGGCAAAATTTATTGACTTTTTATTAGCAAACGTATAAAAAATAACAACAACTGAAAATTCAACAAAATAAATTTAAGTGTTTAAGTTATTTACACTTAAAGCTTTTATTTTCATTTACTTTTATATATTTTTTTTGACAAAACAAAAGAATATTAACAAATTTTGCTGAGTTTTTAGAATATTTCTTTTGAACAACTATTTTTTTCACCAAAATGGTGTTTAACATTGACCCATTTTAATAGTGTGTCAATTGTTGTTGTTGTTGTGTTTTTGAGATTTTCTTTGCCATTTTATTGTAAAAAAGTATAACTTTCAACGAAATCTCATACTATCAACGAATTGTTTATAAATTTATGACCGTCGTACTTCCGAATAAAATACAATGTATTAAAACAAAGTGAGTTCTTTAGTTTGGCCGGAAATTTAAAAAGTCACACACATTTTGTTGTTATGTTTGAAATTTATTTGTTGTTAAACAAATAAAATATTGTAACTAAAATTTAAAAGTTAACTAATTGCTAGTTATTAAACAAAAATGTACCAACGGTTTGTTGTTAAAGGGGAAAAATAGTCTGTAGTCTAGTCTAGTCAAGTCTATAGTCTAGTCTGTAGTCTAGTCTATAATCTAGTCTATAGTCTAGTCTATAGTCTCGTCTATAGTCTCGTCTATAGTTTCGTCTATAGTCTAGTCTATAGTCTAGTCTATAGTCTAGTCTATAGTCTCGTCTATAGTCTCGTCTATAGTCTCGTCTATAGTCTCGTCCATAGTCTCGTCCATAGTCTCGTCTATAGTCTCGTCCATAGTCTCGTCTATAGTCTCGTCTATAGTCTCGTCTATAGTCTCGTCTATAGTCTAGTCTAAAGTCTAGTCTATAGTCTAGTCTATAGTCTATTCTATAGTCTAGTCTATAGTCTAGTCTATAGTCTAGTCTATAGTCTAGTCTATAGTCTAGTCTATAGTCTAGTCTATAGTCTAGTCTATAGTCTAGTCTATAGTCTAGTCTATAGTCTAGTCTATAGTCTAGTCTATAGTCTAGTCTATAGTCTAGTCTATAGTCTAGTCTATAGTCTAGTCTATAGTCTAGTCTATAGTCTAGTCTATAGTCTAGTCTATAGTCTAGTCTATAGTCTAGTCTATAGTCTCGTCTATAGTCTAGTCATAGTCTAGCCTATAGTCTAGTCTATAGTCTAGTCTATAGTCTAGTCTATAGTCTAGTCTATAGTCTAGTCTATAGTCTAGTCTATAGTCTAGTCTATAGTCTAGTCTATAGTCTAGTCTATAGTCTAGTCTAGTCTAGTTAGTCTATAGTCTAGTCTATAGTCTAGTCTATAGTCTAGTCTATAGTCTAGTCTATAGTCTAGTCTATAGTCTAGTCTATAGTCTAGTCTACATTCTAGTCTATAGTCTAGTCTATAGTACTATAGTCTAGTCTATAGTCTAGTCTATAGTCTAGTCTATAGTCTAGTCTATAGTCTAGTCTATAGTCTAGTCTATAGTCTAGTCTATAGTCTAGTCTATAGTCTAGTCTATAGTCTAGTCTATAGTCTAGTCTATAGTCTAGTCTATAGTCTAGTCTATAGTCTATTCTATAGTCTAGTCTATAGTCTAGTCTATAGTCTAGTCTATAGTCTAGTCTATAGTCTAGTCTATAGTCTAGTCTATAGTCTAGTCTATAGTCTAGTCTATAGTCTAGTCTATAGTCTAGTCTATAGTCTAGTCTATAGTCTAGTCTATAGTCTAGTCTATAGTCTAGTCTATAGTCTAGTCTATAGTCTAGTCTATAGTCTAGTCTATAGTCTAGTCTATAGTCTAGTCTATAGTCTAGTCTATAGTCTAGTCTATAGTCTAGTCTATAGTCTAGTCTATAGTCTAGTCTATAGTCTAGTCTATAGTCTAGTCTATAGTCTAGTCTATAGTCTAGTCTATAGTCTAGTCTATAGTCTAGTCTATAGTCTATTCTATAGTCTAGTCTATAGTCTAGTCTATAGTCTATTCTATAGTCTAGTCTATAGTCTAGTCTATAGTCTAGTCTATAGTCTAGTCTATAGTCTAGTCTATAGTCTAGTCTATAGTCTAGTCTATAGTCTAGTCTATAGTCTAGTCTATAGTCTAGTCTATAGTCTAGTCTATAGTCCAGTCTATAGTCTAGTCTATAGTCTAGTCTATAGTCTAGTCTATAGTCTAGTCTATAGTCTAGTCTATAGTCTAGTCTATAGTCTAGTCTATAGTCTAGTCTATAGTCTAGTCTATAGTCTAGTCTATAGTCTAGTCTATAGTCTCGTCTAAAGTATCGTCTATAGTCTCGTCTATAGTCTCGTCTATAGTCTCGTCTATAGTCTCGTCTATAGTCTCGTCTATAGTCTCGTCTATAGTCTCGTCTATAGTCTCGTCTATAGTCTCGTCTATAGTCTCGTCTATAGTCTCGTCTATAGTCTCGTCTATAGTCTCGTCTATAGTCTCGTCTATAGTCTCGTCTATAGTCTCGTCTATAGTCTCGTCTATAGTCTCGTCTATAGTCTCATCTATAGTCTCGTCTATAGTCTCGTCTATAGTCTCGTCTATAGTCTCGTCTATAGTCTCGTCTATAGTCTAGTCTATAGTCTAGTCTATAGTCTAGTCTATAGTCTAGTCTATAGTCTAGTCTATAGTCTAGTCTATAGTCTAGTCTATAGTCTAGTCTATAGTATCGTCTATAGTCTCGTCTATAGTCTCGTCTATAGTCTCGTCTATAGTCTCGTCTATAGTCTCGTCTATAGTCTCGTCTATAGTCTCGTCTATAGTCTCGTCTATAGTCTCGTCTATAGTCTAGTCTATAGTCTAGTCTATAGTCTAGTCTATAGTCTAGTCTATAGTCTAGTCTAGTCTATAGTCTAGTCTATAGTCTCGTCTATAGTCTCGTCTATAGTCTCGTCTATAGTCTCGTCTATAGTCTCGTCTATAGTCTCGTCTATAGTCTCGTCTATAGTCTCGTCTATAGTCTCGTCTATAGTCTCGTCTATAGTCTAGTCTATAGTCTAGTCTATAGTCTAGTCTATAGTCTAGTCTATAGTCTAGTCTATAGTCTAGTCTATAGTCTAGTCTATAGTCTAGTCTATAGTCTAGTCTATAGTCAAGTCTATAGTCTAGTCTATAGTCTAGTCTATAGTCTAGTCTATAGTCTCGTCTATAGTCTCGTCTATAGTCTAGTCTATAGTCTAGTCTATAGTCTAGTCTATAGTCTAGTCTATAGTCTAGTCTATAGTCTAGTCTATATTCTAGTCTATAGTCTAGTCTATAGTTGTTCCGACTATATGCTAGACTATAGAAAGAAAACTTATAAAATTGAACTTATGTAGTAATGTTTAACCTAAACAAAGACACAAGAACAAAAAGGACAAGGGGTGTTTAAAATAGTCCCTTTTTTGTTACTATGCACATTTAAAAAAAGCAACAAAATTCATTTAATTTTGTCTATGTATAAGCTAAAGGTATTGGGTGTGAGTGAAGAAATAAATCGTTGGTGTGGTAATAATTGTTTTTCAGGGACATAAATAAACAGTTTTCAAAGTTAATTTTTCGATATTATAGTATATAGTATTTGCTCATTCAAAGGCAAAAGAAGAATTTATTTGTTTTCTTTTTTTTTATAGTTGTGTATGACATCAACTAAATATTCAAATGGAATTTCAAATATCACAAAAGATATATTGAAATGAAATAACAAATAACAAAGATATTAATTAAAAATGGACAAATAAAAAGATAACAACTTAAATCATCACAACAACAAAACAAACAAACAAAGACCGAAATATATTTAGCAAAATTAAAACTTTAAGGCAAATTAATTTAACACACCAACAATTTCAAGAGAAATTTTTCGGAATTAATCTATTTTTAATACGAAATTATTTAAAGAAAAGTTCAAAATATGATAACATTTTACGAAGGGGAATTTCTTTTACATAATTTCACAATTACTCACCAATTTTTGCTATACTGGCCGATAGAATCCAAACACCAATAATGAATGGTGTTTTAACTCGATCAAATTCCACTTGAGCCAAGGGATAACGATCATGATGACCACCTTCTTCCTCACCATCGTCTGAACGTGCTTCATGCGCAGCATGAGCGGTATGTTTGTTGTGTAGTTCATTTTGTGACGGTGGTATTGAGGAGTCACTTACAGGAGACTAAAATGGAAGAGAGGGAAAGAATTTAATATCTTTTAAAAATGAAATGTAATTATAAAAAAAGTTCGAAAAAATGTACCGAATATGGTACCAAGTCCAGACTATAGACTTGACTATAGTCCAGACGACAGACTAGAAAATACTATAGACAAGACTATAATTCAGACTATAAAAAAGACCAAAAACCAGACTAGTCACTAGCCTATAGTCCCGACTATTGACTTGCAATAGACCATGCTATAAACTAGACTTTAGTCCGGGAGTAAAGTATACTGAAGTCCCGACTAATAATTTGCTATCGTCCAGAGTATAAACTGGACTATAGTACAGGCTATAAAGTAGACTGTAAACCAGACTATAAACTAGACTACAGACTACTCTAAAAACTAGACTATGGACCAGACTATAAATTAGATTATAGGCTATACTATAGACTAAACTATATATTACACCACAGGCTATAGACTAGACTATAGACTGGACTATAGACTAGACTATACTAGACTAGAATAGACTAGACTATAGACTAGACTATAGACTAGACTATAGACTAGACTATAGACTAGACTATAGACTAGACTATAGACTAGACTATAGACTAGACTATAGACTAGACTATAGACTGGACTATAGACTAGACTAGAATAGACTAGACTATAGACTAGACTATAGACTAGACTATAGACTAGACTATAGACTAGACTATAGACTAGACTATAGACTAGACTATAGACTAGACTATAGACTAGACTATAGACTAGACTATAGACTAGACTATAGACTAGACTAGACTAGACTATAGACTAGACTATAGACTAGACTATAGACTAGACTATAGACTAGACTATAGACTAGACTATAGACTAGACTATAGACTAGACTATAGACTAGACTATAGACTAGACTATAGACTAGACTATAGACTAGACTATAGACTAGACTATAGACTAGACTATAGACTAGACTATAGACTAGACTATAGACTAGACTATAGACTAGACTATAGACTATAGACTAGACTATAGACTAGACTACTAGACTAGACTATAGACTAGACTATAGACTAGACTAAGACTAGACTATAGACTAGACTATAGACTAGACTATAGACTAGACTATAGACTAGACTATAGGACTAGACTATAGACTAGACTATAGACTAGACTATAGACTAGACTATAGACTAGGGACTATAGACTAGACTATAGACTAGACTATAGACTAGACTATAGACTAGACTATAGACTAGACTATAGACTAGACTATAGACTAGACTATAGACTAGACTATAGACTAGACTATAGACCTAGACTATAGACTAGACTATAGACTAGACTATAGACTCGACTATAGACTAGACTATAGACTAGACTATAGACTAGACTATAGACTACTAGGACTAGACTATAGACTAGACTATAGACTAGACTATAGACTAGACTATAGACTAGACTAAGACTAGACTATAGACTAGACTATAGACTAGGACTATAGACTAGACTATAGACTAGGATATAGACTAGACTATAGACTAGACTATAGACTAGACTATAGACTAGACTATAGACTAGACTATAGACAGACTAGACTATAGACTAGACTATAGACTAGACTATAGACTAGACTATAGACTAGACTATAGACTAGACTATAGACTAGACTATAGACTAGACTAGACTAGACTATAGACTAGACTATAGACTAGACTATAGACTAGACTATAGACTAGACTATAGACTAGACTAGACTAGACTATAGACTAGACTATAGACTAGACTATAGACTAGACTATAGACTAGACTATAGACTAGACTAGAGACTAGACTATAGACTAGACTATAGACTAGACTATAGACTAGACTATAGACTAGACTATAGACTAGACTATAGACTAGACTATAGACTAGACTATAGACTAGACTATAGACTAGACTATAGACTAGACTATAGACTAGACTATAGACTAGACTATAGACTAGACTATAGACTAGACTATAGACTAGACTATAGACTAGACTATAGACTAGACTATAGACTACTATAGACTATACTATAGACTAGACTATAGACTAGACTATAGACTAGACTATAGACTAGACTATAGACTAGACTATAGACTAGACTATAGACTATAGACTAGACTATAGACTAGACTATAGACTAGACTACTAGACTAGACTAGACTATAGACTAGACTATAGACTAGAGACTAGACTATAGACTAGACTATAGACTAGACTATAGACTAGACTATAGACTAGACTATAGACTAGACTATAGACTAGACTATAGACTAGACTATAGACTAGACTATAGACTAGACTATAGACTAGACTATAGACTAGACTATAGACTAGACTATAGACTAGACTATAGACTAGACTATAGACTAGACTATAGACTAGACTATAGACTAGACTATAGACTAGACTATAGACTAGACTATAGACTAGACTAGACTATAGACTAGACTATAGACTAGACTAGACTAGACTATAGACTAGACTATAGACTAGACTATAGACTAGACTATAGACTAGACTATAGACTAGACTATAGACTAGACTATAGACTAGACTATAGACTAGACTATAGACTAGACTATAGACTAGACTATAGACTAGACTATAGACTAGACTATAGACTAGACTATAGACTAGACTATAGACTAGACTATAGACTAGACTATAGACTAGACTAGACTAGACTATAGACTAGACTATAGACTAGACTATAGACTAGACTATAGACTAGACTATAGACTAGACTATAGACTAGACTATAGACTAGACTACACCATAGACTAGTCTCTAAACCAGACTACAGACTAGTCTATAGGCTAGACTATCCTTCTTCCTTTTAAATCTGCATTTAAATAAGAAAACGCCCATGAAAAAGTTTTAATGAAAATATTCATTTCAATAACATTGTAATGCCTAGAAAATAGCTTAAGTGTAAAATTTTGAAAATAATATTTTAAGCTCATCTGCGACCTTATACTCTATTCAATTACGAATATATTCCTTAACTTTTATCTAAATAAATAATAAAGTTTTCGCCAGGAATTTTAAGCAGTTTTATATAGTTTTCATAAATAAAATAAACATTTCATTAACTTGTCTAAGAAGTCAATGAAATAGACATAGGCTAATTTGCTTTAACAAGATAACATTAAGCTATATAAAAGAAAAATTGAAAAAAAAAAATCTGAAAGAATAGCAAGCAACCAAGTAAATTATGACAAATACTAAAGAAAAAATAAGAGTATTTAGAAGTTAAAAAAAATTTTGCAGACATTATTGTGTTCCACTGACAATAGGAAGGAAGAGAGTTTGTGGGGGAATAATTGCTACTAATTACAATGCGTCTATTAAAAAGGCAAACTTTTCAATGCTGCCATAGTTACACAAGATAAAAAAATATAAATATTGTACAGCAGTAGTAGTCGAGTACAAATAACAACATCATTAATAGCAACAGCAACAACAGCAGTATGTATGTATTAGATTGCGTCGTTTAAATAAAACGTTAATTGTTGTTTATAGCAACAAATTGATAATAAAACAAAACTGCCAGTAGTTGCACACAAGACAAATAGTCTTCGTAGCAATTGAACAACTGCTAAAAAGAAAAGTAAAATACAAAGGAACTTGAAAAAATTAAAAGATGATGAACGTTAAAATACAATTGAATAAATACAATACATTATAATAATAATAATAATAGAATAAATATTGGAAAATTGTTCTATGATGTTTTCGTTTTAATACAAATGTTAAACAGGCGGTAGGTAGTATTAAAGTAATCAATAGTCAGTCAGCTGCTTAGTATTTGCTTTTGCTAAATTTATTTACAACATGTGCCGGCCAATAATTTCACACTAATTATAATTTAAAAATGTTATTTATAACACTCATGTTTTGTAATTTCATTTTAAATGATTTTTTCTCTCTATCTTGAAAATTTCCATATTTAAAGTCTAACAAAAAGTTCTAATGGCGACATTGAAAGTTACAATGCAAAAATAAAATTAATAAAACAATAGCAACTACATATACACCTTCATTTGACAAATATTTACATATCCGGCCCGTTGATGATAAAAAGATAAATTTAAAAAAAGGTCGTGCTGAATTTTTATTATTTTTTTTTATATAAAAAAACTTAACATCCAGAAACTTAACATTAAACAAAACAGAATACACACTATTGACCAAACCATGGACAATAATCTAGACTATAGATAAGACTATAATCAAAACTATAGTCCAGACTATAGACAAGATTGTAGTCCAGAATATAGACCAGACTATAGTCTGGAATATTGAAAAGACTATAGTCTAGACTATATTCCACACTATAGAGTAGACTATAGTCCAGACATTAGTCCAGACTTTAGTTCAGACTTTAGTCCAGACTGTATTCCAGTCTATAGCCCTGACTAAAGTCCAGATTATCGACTAAACTATAGTCTAGACTTTAGACAAGACTATAGACAGACCGTAGTCTAGATTATAGCCAGGAATATAGACAAGACTATAGTCCAGAGTGTAGACAAGACTGTAAAGAGAGCTATAACAAAACTTATGATAAGACCATAGTCCTGACTAGAGCCTATAATCCAAGCTATAATCCAGACTATATATAGTCAATACTCTGGCGTCTGGTCTCTAGACTATAAACAGGACTATAATCCAGACTATAGACCAGACTCAATTCCAGACTATATACAAAACTGTAATCAAGACTATCTATAAGATAGTCCAGACTATAGAAAAGTCTAGACAAGACTATAGGCAAGACTATAGACAAGAATACATGTACATATAGACAAGACTATAGTTTTAATGACAGGAATATATACAAAATTATAAATAAGACTATAGAAAAGACTATAGTCCAGACCATAGCTATAGTATATTTTGGACAATAGTCTGGACAAGACTAAAAACAAGACTGTAGTACGATGTAGGCGATAGTACAGACTATAGTCAAGACTA